GCGTGACCGTAAAATGATGCAACCTGGAGAGCGTTACCGTAGATGCCTCCCTCCGCGTTAACCTCGGCGCCATTGTCGAGTAGTAGCTGGACGATTTCTACGTGACCGCGAAATGATGCAGCCTGGAGAGCTTTACCGTAGATGCCTCCCCGCGCGGTGACGTCGGCGCCTATCTGAAGGAGGTGTTGGAGTGCCGGCATCAGTCCTATTAATGCCGCAAAGTAAAGCGAATTGATCGCTGCTCTGGTTCTGCATGCTTTTTGGGCTGTCCATGGCTCGTTGTCCCCGTCCCTCTCGGGATCATACAGACACAACCATGTACGGTATCTGTCTGATCCATACTCCAGAATCTGGATGGTGAAGTGATTCAACAAGTCATCGTCGGGGCCGGCCTCTACACAGAAACTGGGCCAATGGCGTGCTGCGAAGACACTGAGGGGGAACTCCTGCACGATTTGAGCTGTCGTGAGATTATGGTCTAGATTTATTAGGTAGACCAGCAACACTTTGGCGACCTCAGCCTTAGCGAAGCGAAGAGCGAAGCGAGGAGCGAGATGGTTCCGCGTTTTGTACAATTCCGGAGACAAGAGGAATTCTTTTACCGAAAAATGCGCGAGCTGCACTTCTTCGTAGCCGCCAGCGTCGCCCTCAGCACTCGGATCGTCTGGATGATGTTCTATAGAGATCAAGCTGGAGCAAAGCGAGATAATATCCGAATGGTGTAGGTAACGTTCCTCTTTGTTGAAGCTCGGAACGGGGTACAAGCTTACAGCAATTGCATCAACTGCTTCGTCGAGTCGCAATGGTCGCTCAGAAACGAGTAGAAATTGCAGCAGTTGTGTCGTCATCTTCTCGTCGCTTTTGGGAAGGTTCTCTAGTATACGGCTATAAGTTTTGGGCAGATCTGAAGGTAGCCTCGTCAATTGTCTTCGCAGATCTGCTAAACTTCTGCATTTTTCAAGCTCGTCAAGCTGACATTGGACCCAGCGAAATCTAGTCACGTCAGTAAACTGTTCGCTCTTGAGTCTAGCGAATATACCTACATGCCGTTAGCTTTCTGCACAAGAGTATTTTCAATTTCGTTCCGCATTTCATGTTCCTTTGCGATCTTCTTGAAACCAGCGCCGGTCCGAAGTCGATGCTGCACGTAAGTCTGGATATCGTCGGCAATTGCAGTGGGATGTAGAGATACAGTCCACTTAGATGGGATGTGCTCATGTAGTGCCTGTATGATGTCGTGCTCGCGACGGCTTGTAACGATCATTTGGGTACTGTCAAGGCTTATGAGACCGTCTAGCCATGGTAGTAACGACTTTCGATCTTGGCACTCGTCTAGTGCATCGAGCACGACACGGACGTGGCGATACTGTGAGATGAGTGCTTCAAGCGTGCTGATGAGTGTCTCCCATGATGGCTGCTTCCCGCCGTCGATGCTTGCGTGGAAGAGCTTCTCCACGTCGTCAGACCGAGCAGGAGCCTCTCGCCATAATTGATCGATAAGCGACCGTATGCAATGCTCTGCTGTTTGCTTCTTGTCCTCGGCGAAGCTAAAAAAGAAATATATAAGCGGCCCTTTCTCCTGAGGATCCTCTGCCTGAAGTTTCTCGATTAGTGTTGAGCTCATGATGGTCTTGCCGCACCCTGCATTGCCATTCAGCCACAGTGATCCGCTTGGAGTTGCTTCCCAGGATTTAAAAGCACCGCTGTCGAGAAACCATTGACCCGAGCCCCTGAGGTGCAGCCTTCGCGCTTTGCTCAAGTTCGTGGAGGAATCTGGAGCATCAAGCCATGCACTAAATCTGCGCTGTCGCTCGCTCATATCTCGATCGTGAAGACGTTGGTCCAAGATTCGTGTCTTTACAACAATATCACGCACTGCCAAAAGTCTCAGCGACTGTTCATTTGGTTACTACTGTCATCACCTACGCATTCCTGAATCCCCGCTGAGAGGGCCGGTTCTCTCGACATCGTCCGGCTGGATGTAGCTCAAATACTCTTTCGCAAAAGATGCTGCGACGAGGGATGCGTACTGCTGCCACTTATCATTCTTATACTCATCGGCATAGTCACAGACGCCACGGATCACCAGGCACGGGAAACCGTTCATCAGACCAGCAGCCTCCATCTCAATGCACAGCGGATCTATGGCTTCTGCGGAGAGTCTGTCCATCAGCTGATCGCGGTGCACTGCAGATTTCACAAGCGTGTCGCTCGATCCAATTACGCCGTAATGGATCATTGGCTCCGTGCGAGCATCATGTGCGAGGAGCGTTCCGTCACGAAAGTGGTAGATGTCCTGCGCGAGCGCCGGCTTCTTCAGTCGAGGATGCACATAGCTTGCTGCCATTTTGGGATACTTGCCCAGCGCTTGCTCCATAAGCGAAAGCATTTTCGATCTTTCACGCTCATGGCGCGACTTCATCTTGCTTAGCGCTGTCCGCAGTGCAGTTGGGGGGCTGTTTAGATTGCCTATACGTAGTGGGCGTGGCTGCGCGTTGCTCTCGAGCATTTTCACCTTGTCGAGCTGTACTACTCCGCCGCTTGTTCCGCTCGGCTCGCTTACAACAACGTCGCCGAGTCGGACATCGCGCCGTAGGGTAAACGTGCCGTCGGGGCCCAGAACTTCGCCGGGTATCCCAGCACCGATGCCCACCAGCAAGCCAACGCGGATGTGCGGGAGCGACGAGCGTAGCGCTTGCGCGATCGTGGCCGCGGCCGATGTACCATATTCCCCCGCCGGTAATGATGCAATCAGCACATAGTGCTTGCCGATACGACCCCAGGAGTACGCGTTGACGTCGCCGCTGCTCTTTTTGAAGTCGTCGGGGCCATCTTCGAACTCGTCGTCGAACATGGCCTCGCCAGCAGCGCGCTCGTGCGACAGCGCGGCAATCCAGGCGACAGTGAACATGTGCGTCCTGATCGCCATGTTTTGTTGATGTGAACATGCACTGTCCTCTCGCAGAGTTGACATCATGATCCCAAAGTGTTCAGTTGTGCAATAAGCTGGTAAAGCGAGAGGAGCTGCAAGCACGGCAGGCACATAGCCTGCTAGCATGTGCTCTGTCGGCTACTGCGGACGTATTGCCGTGACCGACTTGCGTCACCCACCGGTGGGCACTTATGTCAGCCACCGGGTTGGGTGGCCCCCTCTGCTTACGTCCCCCACCGGTGGGTGACGTAGTCCGGTATGGTGCCTCAGGCATTTCACCTACGGCAGGTGCCGTGGCTGCTGCCTGAGATATCAACTTTTCCCCTTTTCTCTTCTGTCCATAGAATTTTCCCTGGATGGGGAATGAGGAGAGACACATATCTTTCAATACAATTTTAGCTGCGTCTGCACGCAGGCAGCCCTTCCGCATATCACCTCTGCGTCGATAGGACGTGATCTGCGGACCTGCATGGCTCAGGGTCTTGGCGTTGATGGACAGAGTCATTAATCATCCTTGCAAAGTAACGAATACTCTTTGATATTGCGTGTAAAAGATGGTAAAGTGCTCCGTGATCGGAGGTGAAATTCTCAACCGACATCTACATAGCACCTATTGCTGTCGTGTAGATACGAGAAGACGAAGACTGCTCTGCCTTTTACTGTATGCCGATAGTGTAGCCGCCGTGATTATTTAAAAACAAACGAAGCTAGTACGGCGAGAACATGAGAACAAATGTCATAATAAACATTAACAAGGAGAACCTGCTCCCGCTATCTATGAAGGACATGCTCAACTGTGAAGAAAGGTATCTCGATGGACTGTGTGAGAGCTCGAATTCTGTGGCCCGGATTGGGGTTAAAACGATCGTCTTCCGAAAAATGTCACTTTCAGCACTTCGTGTCACAAGACTCCACTACTTCGATGGACTTACTATCTTGTCACAGGACTTATGCGTCTCCCGTGCATAACAAACTTCGGATGAAACATGTTCATCAATCCGAAATGGCCTTTAATCCAATGCTTTGTGGTAAAAGTTTCAAAATCATGCAACTAGAGAGGCAAGCGACTCGCCATTCAAATTCAAAGCATTCAATTCTTGATCTGGCGCGGTTTGTGAGTGAACTTGCGTCCTTCCATTCTTATCTTCATATTGCCTTACACCTCTAGAAATTGTCCAAACTTGACAAGTGACGTTCGAAAAACAATGTAGCGATCAGTATTTCCAGCAAGACACGCGCGTTTTTTCTCATAGGCTTTTCAGCAACTCTTCCCATTTCGCATTGCTCGTCACCAAAACAGACACCAACGCCACAATCGCGAGTCACATTTAATTGAACAATCCTGCGGCAGATCGTCACGTTTGACGCGGTATTGGATCCAGCATAAGGCAGAAAGCCAAGCAACGTGAGATGCCGCAATGACTTCACGTTGCTACAGACGACGCTTTCGCCACCGTCATCGGCGATTCAACTCATGGCGACGATGAAGAAGTCATCGACTCCACCTTCGATCATCAATAAAACTTGTGTAGCATCCGTGGCCACGTAAAAGTGGGCAGTGAAATGACTGGGTTTCATGTTTTTGGCTGACTAGGGCTGGCTCTAGTCAACGATGGTTTGTTCTCGATAATATTCCCATGATTTGCAGCGTGCCAACCTTTCACTATCACCTGCCTTCGCAAACTCACTCCTCTCAAGCACAATGGATCCCAGCGAGGCGCAGTCTGGGTAGCAGCTCGCTGTTCCAGCGGCGAGTATGTTATAGATTCAAGATGCTTTCTAAACGAGTGGAACATCAGAAATTCAAGGCACTGTCCAAATGACTGAAAGATCCGAGAACCAAGGTGCCGTCCAAACGAATGGAACATCAGAGAACCAAGCACAGAAATCGAACTATAACTCTCGGTCCAACAAAAGTTTCAGGCAAGAGGAAAGGATATTGCGAATGATGGAGAACTCAGTCGTACGCCTTAAAAATGGCACCAGATTCTACCCATGGCGAATGATTCCTGGGCGTGAAAACGAATGGTACCGAGAGATTTTTGACGCCATCGTCTGGATCCATAGTCACAAAGATCATCCGCAAGTTCAAGTGCGTTATACTGCAGCGCGTTCGGTCTGGCTGTCTCACAGGGCAAGTGCGTCGGTTCTTCTATTTCCTTTCAGAGACTTTCGCAATGGTGGTTCTGGGATTCGAGGATTCGGAGTTCAAACAGATCCTGTGCCAGATCACACGAAGCTCGGCACGCTGAGGAACTCCACCTCCAGAGCCACTGTTCGACCCTCTTTCTTGGATCTAGATGGATTGAAGCGTAGACCTGGGCGCTTGTCCTTAGTCCGCAACAGCGAGAATCTCAGGACCGGTAATGAAGCACAGGATGAGGAGTACTTTCCTATAAAGCGACATCGTATACATTCCACACAGAGTTCACAACCGCTTCCATCACAGTCTTACAGCGGTGCCCGGGCCGCGATTCCGAGCAGCGCGCCTCCAGATTTATTTCCCACGGCGAATACGACAATAACGACTGCCAAATACTCCTCCATGACTAAACACAGGATTCGCTCACGCCAGACCCTGCCTGTCGCCAATCAGTCCGAGTCCCGTACGATGGGTCCCAAAAGAGCAAGGAATAAGAGGGAACACTTCACGCCCAAGGGTGACGTCAGGAAGCTGGGAGAGCTGATCACAGACTTTGCAACCGGTAGCAAGCTTCTAGACCGCAGCAATACCGATGCCCGCCGAGCAGTCGCCACCGTCTTCATCACATGCATGATCAAAGTGCGGGTCGGACAAGATCAAGCATAAGACTCTGGTCGATATCACCGGATTTTCTTTCGACTGGGAACAGTCATCTCCGACTCTATAAGGACACTCTATGAGTGCCTTCCTTGAGGACTTCTGCCGGATCTGGCAATAGATTCAACATCACGCTCCTCGATGCAATTGAACCGGACAGTCGCAAGCTCGTCGCCGCGTTCTGCCTCCAGAGTTGGTAGAGAATCACGTCGGAGTATGAGCTCGATGTTAAGATTCAAGAAGTTCCCGGCGAGCTTTTGTGCAAGTGAGATGAGGAGCTCGAACTTGCTACCGTGGGAAAAGCTACAATCACTGATGTTAACGACGACGACGAGGACGATCAGTTTGCACATTTCCTGACGCTTTGCCGATGTTGATTGACCGATTTTATGAGCAGCATGGTTCGTAGTGTTCCGATTTTGAGCGCATTGTACCATATGTCAGCAGCCGCGTTCATCCATTATTTCTCAACTTCTCATCTTGAATCCAAGCTTTCACAATAACTGTAAAGTGCGGCGCTTTGCCCAACCGAATCTCGATCAGGGACATATCTGCTAATCGCATTCCTTCAAGCCATTCTCTTGCAAACCGTCACGATATACATAGTTTTGGCACGGAATGCCAGCAAAGCGAGCTGCCACACCTCGGCCGCACGATCCAAGCACAATAAGTTATCCTTTGATTGATAGAACCCAGCAGATCGTCGCCGGTTCCGCCGCGGATCTTTTGAAGTATCAGTGAAATGGCTTTATTGGGCTGACTCTGCTGATATGGAGATATTTCCAGCTTCCTCTTTGAGATTGGAGATGGTCCTGACCTTGGAACCCTTCTTTCGAGCTAATGACAACGACTTCAAAGGTCAAATTTCTCCAGGCACACATATTTTGGGCAAGACTCATTGTCATCATTACCATCATCACTACTTCATTATCCGCATCGCCCCGTTCAAGATGAAGGTGCGCGTGGGCTGGTTGCATTGGCACCACCGTTTCGAGGCCCTCAGGGGACACAGATTGTTTATGATGGTCCCGGTCGGAAAAGCATTGATTCGCCTTAAGTAAGACCAGAAATTGAGGCCACCGCGCCTGAAGTCCTACGAGGGCAACAAGCTCTTGCAGGCCATCCAGGAAAATTTCACTTGGATTTACAAAAATCGGAATCACCCAACGTCGCAACACGCCTGAATGAGCTTCGCTTGATGATGATACTTCAGAAAGAAAGGCCGCTGGAATTATCGGCTATGCGACAGATGTTTCGGGTCAACACGCCATCCAACGACGCAATGCCCTCAGCAGGCGCCGAACAGACACTATCGGGCGCCATCAGCACTGCTCCCTCCGATACAGGACCAGCGCATCCTACGACAGGGACACCTCGCGAACATCACTGCGGCGTCCCTCTGTTTACGGTCGAAGATGAAAGAAAGATCTGGGGGAGACAATTCGGCATCGACCCTGATGACATGTGTGTTCTTGACCTGTGGAAAGCATCCAATAATCTGCAATTTCCCAGCAATGCAAAGGAGATCGGCTATATCACATTCAACGCTTTCGTCCCAGACTTCCAAACACGACGACGCGATCCATCCCGAATGATTCCAAGACTTCGCAAAACAACACCAGGATTATCTTCTTACTGTTCGTGAAGCTCAGCAGCGCGAGCGTCACGCTCCTCCAGAGCAGCACACATATCGATCTCTTGCACAAGAGCGTCGACGCCGTGCCATTCAGTCAGATACTGGGCGTAAGGAATTAGCTGATAATCGCCTCGGCGGAGATTGATCTTGACACGCGGAGGTGTATCTTTGGGAACTAATTTCAGGAAGCCCTTCTTCAAGGCCCAGTCGAACCAGCGGGTCAGGAACTCGCATCCATCTCGCGTAGTGTTGAGCGCCATCGGATACCATACGAGTCCTTCGAGGTCGCTCTCTTCCATTTTAGTGTTCCGCGCGGCGTACTCTCCAATGCTGACATTTGTCTCATAGGAGGTTTTCGGCATATCGCGCAAATTCTCGATCGCTGGATCCGTGCACAACGTTTTGTCATAGAACATGAAGAGACTCGACGATTGGAAATGCGTGTATTTCAACTCCAGAACGATTTCGTCAATTTCGGCACGGTGAGCGTCATGATCGCCGTCCATTGCCATCGTCATGGCCATGGCAGAGGTTTTCAGTCCCAGTCGCTGGTAGCAGAGCGGCTCTTGGACCACTTCGTTGACCTTACGGCGGAGCTCGTTCATGCAGTAGGGGAATATACCGTGGGGAACTACGGCAATTGACGCTGGAGGGATACCTACCCAGGGATTCCTCGCAGGAACGGATGACCTAGATGAGATCATTGTCATGTCAGTCCACTTTTGCGCAAAATAGCCTTGGTCAAGATATCGATTTGCTGGCATCGGTTGCCAAGGTGCGAGTGTGTATAATATATCAAGGATAATCGCTTCTTGACGTACGGGTAGCGCCGGTAGCCTTTTCAGATAGCACTCAAGGATCTCTTGGCTCTTGCCGGTGACTTTACCATGAAAATCCTCAGTGAAACCTCCAAAGATGACCATGAGAAACATGGCTTCTATCGCAAGCCGAGACTTTGGATCAGTAACCACTCGAAGAGCAACGCCCGGAGCGTCGGATTCACGGACGACAGAAACTGCATCTGCTTCCTTGCTGTCGAGTTTGAGATGGAATGCTGCGGCAAATGCTTCGCGCGACAATCTTTGTGCCAGTGCACGTCCTTCGGTGCTGTAGTATTTGAGGACACAAGATTCGAATTTCTCGATCGACCATGGTTCTTGAAGTTCCCGCTGGTATCGGACCTTGATAGAATCGTCCTCAAATGCTTCGAGACGAGTGAAAGTAAGGACGCCAGTAAGAGTTGACGCCGTCTTGCGCTTGGTTCTGATTTGCATGCTGTCTGTTATTACCGATCGAAGCACACTTGTAGGGCTTCTTCATCCTATCTCCTGCGCCGTCTGTGGCGCATGCTCTTTGGGCCTTCGGCATGAGACTCTTGTGCAGAGTCATGCTCAGAGTTGATGGTCTGCATACTGGACAGGGAGATCGTGTGTATGCGTGGCAGAGAAAGAAGAGTCAGATAGACACAAGGGATGAGAGCGAGAACGAGGGATGTTGATAAGGAAGAATTCAGCATGCAATGACACAAAGTCCTGATGTGGGAATATTTTAGAAAAAAGTGTCGAAGTCCTAAACAAGGAGAAGGTGCCTGCCTGGGTACTTGTGACCAATCGTAAGCGCATAGCCTGTATAGCCTGTATACCCTCCCAAACCACGATTTACCTCGACGCAGTTTCATATCAAAGCTGTACAGCCAATGGAAACACTCCAATTCGTTAAACGTACTACTTGCGAGCCTACTCACATGCCGTTATTATGGCCACCACTGACACTCCGAGACTTTACTGTCGCATTAACTTGAGGAGCTCATGAGAAGTAGACACCCTCCTTTATTCCATTCGTAATGGAGGGGGGCTCGGTGCGATGCGATGTGTCGGCCTTGCGGGCGCGATCTTGTTCACTCAGAGTCTGACACAATGAACAATTTTCCAATACTTCCAAGATCGACTCCAAAGTCGTCGTCGTCGCATATGAGATTGGTAGTCACATCTATCATGAGCATGTCGCGTCGAGATAGAGCTCCTGCGGATGTCCGTTGACTGCACTCGTAGCCGACATACGGTATTGCGTTCGAACAACATCTTCTTGATAGGCCGCTTCGTTCTCGGCCAGACCACTGCGAACCATCGCCTTGTGAGAAGTCGCTAATGGAAGGTATTGTGTCGTTGACAATGGGCTTCTTCAACGAGTGTCGTCCATCCGAAAGTCCGCCGTTCCCGATCAACTCGAACTCGCTCGGCCCGCGGCTCCGGCAGCACCCAAACTCAACGGCTTCCCACAACGCCCGTTTTCACGGCATTTGCAGAGCGGCTGATTTGAAGATGTCGCTGGGGGCATTGGTCCACTTCCTTTAGCTCATTCAAAATTACCAAATGGACTCGTCGTGAGGGCTAACAGGATAATGATGGGTTTCTTATCTATCACGTCCTGCATCTCTTCCTAAAGCGTCCACACAGTGGGCTCGATCGCGTCATGGAATTTGCTGTGCCGCTTTCTCAACACGGTCACGGGAAGGGTGGACAATAATTCTGAATCGGGATCTACCTCCGCAGCTACATGATAAGGTTCGAGATGCCCCATTGTTTGGGAAATCATATGCTATTTTCAACGCTTTGAAAATACCCGTTCGCCGCCGAAAGCAACAATATGAACGAAAAAGATGTTGAGGCCGCAGGTCGCCCTCATGATGTAGCAACGGTTCGAATATCAGACCCCATCCCGAGAAGCAAAGGCAAAAAGAGCCTTTCCTTCTACATGTCAATACTGATGTTGGCTATGATTGCGCTGATCGTATCCTGGGATGTGACTGCCCTGTCTTTAGCATTACCAGTATGGATTCTCCGCATAATCTTCCCGCGCAGACAAAAAGATTATGGACCTGGATCTGAAGAGTCTCGAAATTAATTGCTAACCCTGTCTCGCAGGTCATTGCCAACCGGCTCGGTGGGACCAACTTCCAATCATTCTGGGCAAGCATAGCTTTCATTCTCGGAATAGCCGTCACTCAGCCGATATATTCAAGTATATCCGACGTCATGGGACGGAAGCAAGTGCTTTACGTAGCCATTGCACTATTTGGAGTTGGCTGTATAGTCTTCGCCACCGCAAAAGACATGAGCACCATCATTGTCGGCCGGCTGATCAAAGGCCTCGGTGCCGGCGGTCTTGATGTCCTGCAGACCATGATTCTCTGCGACATCACGACCATGAAGGAGAGAGCGCGCTGGCTGGGTGTGCTTTCTTCCGCGAACGCCGTCGGTGCGGTCACCGGGCCATTCATTGGTGGAGCATTTGCGCAGGATGTCGGATGGCCGTGGCTCGGATGGATCAACCTTATCGCGGCCGGCATCACGGGCGTACTGACATTCTTCTTCCTTCACCTTACTCCCATTGAGGGCGACTTGAAGACGAAAGCTAGGAAGCTTGATTGGTCTGGGTTTGCCTTGTTTACAATCATCGGCACAATCATTGCTCTACCGCTCAGCTGGGGAAACACGCTGTATCCTTGGGGCTCTTGGCGCACACTTGTTCCGCTGCTCATCGGGATAGTCCTGCTCATCTCATTCGGGTTCGTGGAGAAGAGGGCAACGGCACCCATGATCCCATACAAGATTTTCGACAACATCTCATTCATCACAGGCATTGTCTCGGGGTTTCTCTACGGCTCTTTGCTCAATCCTGTGCTTCTCTACCTCCCGCTGTTCTACCAAGCTGTATATCTGGAAACGCCCATCGTTGCTGCGAAGTCTATCCTACCGCTCTGTTGCCTGGTCGTCTCTGCAAGCATCATTGCATCGATAATCATCGAATGGTCTCGAAAATATCGAGCCACGCTTTGGACGGGCTGGATCCTTTCGACGGTGTTTATGGGTCTGCTCTACATCATCGGCGTGGAAACTAGTCGTACCCAAGGGCTACGTCTATCAAACCTTCCTCGGGGCAGGTCTCGGAACTGCCCTTATGGCAACGATGATCGCTACCCTGGCGAGCGTAACAAGTGTTGACAACGAGGGACTAGCAGCTGGCATGCTGGTTACATCTCGATTTTTAGGCTCACTCATAGGTCTGGCGGTGTGCTCGACGGTCTTCAGCTCCGCCTTTGGAGCACGTCTTGCCGCATCTATCGGTGATCTCCCACCAGAATTGGAGACTCTACGCGATCCGAGCCAGGCTGTACAATTCATCGAAAAGCTCAGATCCGTCAGCGTGTCACCAGAGGTACTGCAGAATGTGATCGAGGCATATTAGGGTGGCTTCCAGACGGTCTGGATTGTTTTGATGGCATTTTCGGGGTTTGCTGCACTCATATCGGTATTCACAAGGGAGAATTCTTTGGAGAAGAGCGAAATTGGGCGACAGGGCCTCCAGACGTCAGCCGCGGAGTGACGCGTCGATATTTGTAGCGCTAATAGTGTTACTTGGCATATGCTGAAGCGTCACTATCATTCTAGACGTTTGAGTCGACCGCGTGGCTCATCATCGGCTACTTCTTTCATCTCTGATTCTGACGACAGCTGGTCCCCAGAGTGCGTAATCCGCAATTTCGATATTGCCTCGAGATCTTCTTCATTGGGAATCGCTCCAGCTTTCAGCAGCGTTTTCACCGCCTTTCTGTGCCCAAACATCAAACCTGTTTGGAGCGCGTTTTTGGAGTTTCGTCCCCCGGCGTTCACATCAGCTCCCGCGTCAAGCAGAATTTCAATGATCTTCGTATGACCGTACAGAGCTGCCGCCGAGATCGCATTGTTACATCTTCCTTCTGAGTTCACATCTGCTCCAGCGCCGAGCAGCATCCGCACGATGCTTTCGTGTCCGGAACGTGACGCACTCACCAGCGCATCACCATGGTATTCGGATCCGTGAGCATTGACTTTTGCGCCGGCGTCAAGCAGAATCTGAACGATGATTTCTTCCCCATTCGCTGCAGCTAATTGCAGCGCAGTACCGTTGTATCCGGGTGCGTTCACATCCGCGCCCGCGTCTAGCAGTATCCGAACGACATCCTCCCTGCCGCGGCCGCTGGCTGCTTGCAAGGAATTCCCAGATCTTCTCCCATATGCATGAACATCCGCTCCAGCGTCAAGCAGTACCCGCACTAGTTCTACATGGCCGCTGCTTGATGCTGTCTGCAGAGCTCTGTTGTTCACCTTGACATCTGCCCCGGCGTCGAGCAGGATCCGAGCTATGGTCTCGGATTCTCTGCCGCCAGCGGCTGCGAGTGCGTCACCATACGCACCTCCGCTACTATTGACATCTGCCCCCATGTCGAGGAGCTTTCGAACGATACGTTCGTGGCCTCCCCTCGATGCTGCTTGGAGTGCACTGTTGTATAAGCCTGCGGACGCGTCAATGTTCGCGCCGGCATCTAACAGTATCTGAACAATCTTTTCATAACCGTAGAACGATGCTGCTTGAAGAGCCGTGCCATAAGTTCCGCCCTCTGCATTGACATCTGCACCACGGCCCAGCAGCACACGGACAAGTAACTCATAACCTTGCAAGGACGCTGCTTGCAGCGCGTTACCATAACGTCCTCCTGTCGCATTGACATCAGCACCAGCATCGAGTAGCACTTGCACTGTTCTTTCAAGTCCCAAAGTCGAGGCGTAGTACAATGCAGGACCGATGTAATTTGGTAATGCAAAGTAGCCAATAGAAGGCTGCTCTGGGTCACATACTCTCAACCAATCCAGCTTTATACTTTCGGTACTCAAGAGGAAGATCGTGGGGCTCGTGTTCGCTTCTCCTCCTTGCGAAAAGTGGATATACCATGACTTTGCGGCATACTCCAACAGCGGAAAGGTGCTTAGATCTTCGACCTTTTGGCTTTTGAGATCATTTCCCGCGTAATGCAAAAGATAAGTTATGCAGGTCTGTGCAAGAAAATGCTCGCTGATTCGAGAGTCCAGGTGAAACTTTTGAGCAGTGCTGGTAATGATGCGACTAGAAATGAGATATTCCTTGACCGAGAAGTGTGCGAGCCGAATTTTGCTCTGCGGTCCAAGACGCGACCTACGCGACCTACGCAACACGACGTCTAGCTTATTTTCTCCATCCAATACCGCTTCGCTGTCAGACTCATTTCCTGAGTCCGCAGCTGAATCATCGTCTGCTATTCCGTCGTAGACCTCATTCGTTTCGTCGTTCTTGATGACTAAGACTAGTCCTGCGAGGATATCCAAGGGGCCTTCGAAATCTTCTTGACATTCAAGATCTGCGTAATTTATATCTTCCGCATCCGATTCGAGTATTGCACCGGCAATAGTAAGCTGAGCAAGTGTGAGGGGCTCGGACGAAAACGCCAGCCACCTTAGGAGCGAGAGTGCCTCGCCATGATACCTTTGCTCAATGCTAGTGAGCATGCGTTCATAAGTGTCGTCTAATGTAGTTGGAAGGTTGTTGAGAGCGTCCTCAATATATTGCCGCCTTGTAGATTTGAGCTGCTTGAGCTCAAGTAGTTGACAGTATGCCCATCGGAACCTAGACGAAACTCAGTAATGTAAATATAGTGTAAACAATCAAAGTTCTTACATCCCATCTGCCTTACTCGAAATCGTCTTCTGTATGAGAGTTTTCAGCTTTTCGCTGACGCGCGACAGTCGGCGATCTTGCGACAATTGTTGAGAAACATAGAGCTCAATGTCAGCGTCTACAGCAGAAGTTGCTATGGGCACAAATTGTGCCTGGATGATTTCCATGGTCTCGCGGATATCGCGCAATTCACGACTTGTGGCAAGTACTTTGATGGAGGAGGTGCCGGCTATTAATCTCTCTAAGCCTTGTAGCATTTCATAGCGGGCATCCATATCGCTTGGGCTTTCGTCAAGCGCGTCTAGTACAATGTATACCGTTTTGTACATTTGTGCAGAAGTGATGACGAGCTTTTCCAAATCACCTATTCTCGGCGGAGTCTTCTTACACTCCTCGTATGCCTGCTGGAGAAGTGAAAGCCCGGGCTCCTGCGATCCGAGTTGCTCAGAAATCGAACGGAGCAAGTCCTCATATGATTGCTTTCGCTGCTCGGAGAAGGTAAAGTAGAAAGCAGCAAGCTGGAAGTTTTCATGACCTTCGCAGTGTGTTCGGACATCTTCAATCACGGATGAACACAAAATTGTCTTTCCGCATCCGGGTTTTCCATAAAGCCAGGTGTTTCGGACATTGTCAAGCTTCCAGTCCTGGTATTCGTGTGATTTCAACAGCCATTCGCCTGTATATGGCTGACGACGCTGACTTGCAGAAGCATGGTTGGTCCAAGGATCTGATGGAGATAGCCAATCAACGAGCGTCCGAAGTTGCTGAGACTGTCGGAGATCGAGAAACACTTTTTGACTCTGCTGAGTCATGTCCAGCTGGAGGACCTGTAGCGCGATCTGTAATGAGCTTTGTATCTCGCCGACATTCGCTTTCAACTTGGACAGGGTCTTCGCTCGGAATGGATACTGTAATCGCTGCGTTTGCCACAGCACTTTTTGTGCCGTGCTGACCGGTTGAATATGCTTTCGTAGCTTTTGTGCCCTCGCCGATAGCACGATCAGGGCGTCGCTGCATGACTGCAAAGAATTGGACACGCGTTCTGCTCTTTCTTTGTCCAGTGTCGGGTCCTTTAATGATCCCTGCAGGACGGAGAAAGTCTTGCTCAGCTCGGCGATGAACCTACAAGCATCGGAAATATCTGAATCGTATGTCTTCCAGATATCATAATATGTCAACAGACCTTGGCAAACTTGAATGCCGAGCGAAGCCACGCCGACAGCTGTTCCCAGCACTTCCATGGGCTTGAGTCTGTCTCAAAAACGCTTACGAGGAATTGGCGAATGTTTGGCTTCCATCTATCAGGATCACAATCTTCTCTATTATCTATCTGAATGATGATCGCGAGGACGAGGACTGATTTAGGATGGAGTATATTGGACAAAGATCACCCGGCTTCGTCTGGAAGTAAATAGTCTAGGTTAATTTGTTTGTAAATTCATTATTATGTAATCCGGATTTCAGAAAAGCATGCGACCAAGATGAGTACAACAATTTTAAGGACATTCAACATTACTACCGAATTAGAGCAGTCATTACCCCTGTGTAAATTATTGAAGAGAATTTTCCACGTGGTGATGAGACGTGACTTCAAGCGGATTAAGAATCGCTATGGATCGTAATTATTAGCAACCTGTGGGAGCTCCTATCGGTGTCCATAATTTATCGGGACGAACCTCATCGCAACCCCCATCTCTTCATCAAGATGATCACCCGATGGGCGACTGTGGATATTGCGGCGTAGCCTGCTGTTGTCCGCACTGTCTTCTTGACTTCGCTTCAATACCGAAATGGCACAAAGCAAGCATCAGCAAGATTACGATTTTGTGGAGCGCCGCCCTTGAAGCAGACGCCAGCGCGACGACGAGCAGTACGATTGGCGAACAGCTACAACCAGGAGACATCCTTCGCGTTGACAAGTCGGTGGGTAATGCGGCTGCAACCTTCAACTTCACAGTGGTGGAAATCAGCGCCTGACGATTTTCCTTCAGACATGGACTGTTATATGCGATTGGCGGCGACCGCTCCTGTCAATTCGATGAAAGCCCGACGATACACGGCGGTACGAGATCACGACAAAGCGAGAACTTGACAGGAGGGCTTGCGGCTACGTGGTTACCATTCAAGAGGGTGGAAAAACATGGAATCTCGCCTTCGCTCGGGGAGTTCAACGCCGAATTGAAGAGGCGAGTGGGGAGCCAAGCACTTCGCAACGTCGGAGATGCAATCATAAGGCGAGGAACATTTGAAGCATGGGCAAATACGCGCGAGAGTCCGTTTGGCAAGGGGTTATGACTCTTGCACCTTGCCAGAGCACCCTGATGTAGATAGCGATTCCTCGCAGAACATGCAATGGCCTTGGAAATTTATTGTATAGCGCGTTGAAGTTCATCCATAGTTGATGCGACTCAGTACCCGTATCTGCACCCGCGTATGAAGTAGCCAGGTGTGTCTGAGAAATTTCATGTTGTCGATCACGAAGTAGTTACTTTAAACGAGTCAGGAAAAGTTCAAATTACGCGACGATGGCAACGTGAGGCTTCTGGTAGAGAAGGTTTGCCGAACATCTTCTCGAGACTCAAAAAGAACCTGTGGGCATCATCGTTCGTAAATACGCGGACACAGAATACGCGTATACTCACACCTTCATAGCCGGCACGATCTCGCCGACTGTGCGCGTAACAGTCGAAGATGTTCAGTGATGGCGCTGATGACGATGCTGCCAATAATGGTGACATTGGTCCTCGAACATGGTCTGCGCATGAGATGGACAAAGAAGGCCACATTCTAGAATAACATAAATGGACGCTCTTGCACGCTGGGTTCATGGTAAGTCGCGGTCGAATTGATTAGCATTCAAATTCTTTGTTATACAATTCATTCAGATATCCTCGCGAAATTGCAATATGGCTTCCATTTTGCGCTCCATATTTATGCTAGGTCTGCTTTCAAGAACTCATGCTCAATACAGCTGCAAGCCGACACCAGAATCACACGACTGGCCCTCGATAACAGCATGGAATGCTCTGAATGCCACCATAAACGGAAGACTGCTTTCGCCGGTCATTCCGGGAGCTGTCTGCTATCCTTCACGTCCGGAATTCAATTCCGACCAATGCGCAGACGTCACATCCCAATGGTCGAACACCTCGTTCCATGCTTCGAATCCTGTTTCGGTCGATTACAACGACGATACTTGCGTACCGGAAGGTAATGTAACATGCTCAGGTGATGGCTATCCAACATATGTTATCAATGTCCACAGCGCTTGTGACATTCAAAGCGGTATCAATTTTGCCAGAGAGACCGGGGTGCGCCTGGTCATCAAGGCAACGGGCCACGATCTCGTCGGAAGGTATGTCATGATTTCCATCTCAGACATCGAGAGCCTCAATCATACTGAATAGACAGTAGATCGTCTGGCCCAGACTCGCTTTCTCTCTACACACAACATCTGCGAGGCCTCGAATTGAACCGATCTGATCCGAGAGCCACAGCACTCGGCGGAGTGGCATCTATGAAGATATACACTGGCGAGCAATTCCGCGGCATCTATAGATTTGCGGCAGACCATAACGTTACCGCTATTGGCGGCGGTGATCCGAATGTCGGTATCGCTGGCTGGTTGATGGGTGGCGGACATGGTCCATTGACCGCCAAGTATGGCATGGGTGCTGATCAGGTCATTGAGATGGAAGTCGTGACTGCTGATGGTAGACTACGGACTGTCAATGAGAAGCAAGACCCTGATTTGTTCTGGGCATTGCGAGGCTTAAGTAATTCACATTATCGGCACAGTGTGAGCGTCTGCTGATCTATTTCTCAGGGCGGTGCCGGAACATTCGCAGTGCTCGTCTCCGTCACGATGAAGGTATATCCTGTCATTCCCGCGAGCTACATCACATACGAGTATTCAACGACGCCGAATTCGGACACGTACTGGTCCTTGGCTGGATTCCTGCATTCTCAGATCCCTGCAATGGCAGAGAGGGGGCTTTCCGGATATTACATCATCGAACCGAACGACGTCAGCGAAGCAGACATCAACAAGAGAGGCAAGCTTTCCGGTAGATGGATTGCGTTGGATCTATCCAAGGAGGCAGCTGCCGCTTTACTCGCTCCAGTCGAGTCATATGCGAATGAGACATCTTTACCAGATGATATCTCTATAAAATCCAATATTACGACCACCACATCCTTCATGGACTTTTGGCTGCGGACAAAGGCGGCCGATAGCGCCGGATACAACGTTCGAATGGGCAGTCGTCTGTTAACCAACACCTCCCTCCTCGGATCGCAGGAGAAACTCATTAACGCCTTGCGCACCGCCACAACTTCTCCCACAGAATCAAATTCGCCCTTGATCCTCATTGGCAGCATCGTCGGTCCAGCACCCAACGCCCGCCACCGCATAGGAGGTATCGCAGGAGGTTCGAATGCAGTCCTTCCCGCATGGCCGGAGACCTACTCGCATCTCATGGTACCACGTACCTGGACGACCGGCGATACAGCAGAGAAATCAGCCATCACCACCGACCTCCGCGAAATCCGTGTTCCCGCACTGCGCGATATCGAGCCGGAGTCAGGAGCCTATATGAGCGAGTCTGACCCCACAGAAGTGGACTGGCAGCGGACGAAATATGGCGTCAACTATGCCGGTCTTTTGAGTACCAAACAGCGTTACGATCTGAGAGGTGTGTTCTGGTGCACGCAGTGTGTTGGAAGTGAGCTTTGGGATACGATTGGTGACTTTGGGGTTGAAAATGGCGTCAACCAGAATATTGTCCGTCTCTGTCGGAAATGAAGGGGGTGAGAATCAGACGTGATCAGGCAATTTTTCCCAGAAGTAAGGAGTTTGTTCCTTTGTTTTCCGCGTAAACTTGTTGCACCATTCATCTTTTACAGAATATACGTCATTTTTGACATTCATGACTTCCACGAGTCGACACGACGCAATTCGACCACTGCAGCCCAAGAAAATCCCCATAATTTTGTTTAGCCCCAACCCTAGTGATAGCCCATGCCCACATCAGGTCAGCCGGCAAAAAACGTAGTTAAGTACACATACATTCCTTTGTCTTCCGGACGTCAACTTGTTCGTCGGCTTTGAATACTGCGACTCAAAGACTTGTATACTGGTATATTTGTTCAATTCTAGACTCTGAAGCAGTCAAGAAAGACTTTCGCCCTCCGCCAAGCTTGTCATACGCACGGCGCCAGGAAAGGACCTACGGCTCATGGCAATCTCTGAGAAAACCAATAGATCATTCAACTATACCGATAAGCCGCCAGGGCGTCATGCACACCTCAAAGGATTTTCCTGGCTCTTGTTCCGTGGATGTAGCTACCTACGAAAACATGAAATGCTGCGCGAGCCGATTCCAACGCTTGCTTGCTCGACGACGTATGCTCGAACGAGTCGCTAGTTCGCCGGCCACTTGGTAATTGATCTGCTCCTCGCGCACTTTACCGTCCTTTCTCTGCCTTTCGTCCTGATCCCCGCCAAAAAGATATATGATAAGGATGCCGACCATGATAGCTGCCAGTAATGCGATCAGGACACCCCCAAGTTCCCAGCTCATATCGGACCAACTATCGCCAGTGAAGGTGGGCATGTTCATGCCAAACACGCCCTACGTAGTGGTAAGGATATATCGCATTGCCGACAATGCTCTGTTTCACTTACAGTGAGAAATGTGGCCGGTAGAAACGTCATGGATGCAATCTCTACGGTCCTCCGAATAGACTTTCCCGCGTTGAGAGATACCTGCTGGGCGAAGAGTAATTCTTGCTGGATGGCGCTGTTTTGTGCTGCGACCCAATTAAACGCCTGAGGAAGCAAGTTATTATTGAAGCATTAAGTTGAACAGGATGGCGATAAGCTGTGCGCTTGTAGTACTTACCAGTTGAATCTCATTGTGAAGACGCTTCTCGAATGACTTGGCTCGCAATTTCAAATTCCTGAAAAGAGTTAGGTCGAAAAGAAGTTCCTCTTCAATGTTTGCTTCGTCACTGCTACGATCACCCTGCTCAGTCTGGTCGACGGCAGCCATCGACGGTGGTGCGGAGGAGACAAATTCTCGCTTGGACCAGCGCTGATGAGTTACAACAATCTGCTCGATTGTCTGTGCTGTCACTTCGATAGTTTCGGACATGTGGATGATGTGCCTTGACAATTCGTGCATCTTTCCGTAGCGAGTTCCGAGGTCCTGGTCCTCATTCGTGGCGTTCAGTCGATTCTGGAAGGATTACAAACTGCTTTGGCATTGGCATAAAGGGATCTACCTTTTCAAAGTCGCGCAGAGGACTCTTGAAGCCCCATAATTCAGCGTCAAATTCTGACAACAGTGTAGCAATGAGAACACTGTATATTCCAAGAGGACAGCTTGCTATATGGCTCAGGTTTCCGGAAGTCTGCTGTTGCTCGAATGCGTGCTTGATATTGCGAGCCAACCCGCGCGGCTTTCCATCGCTTTGCTCTCGGTACATGTCGAAGCAGAGAAGTACGACGACGGGATCGCCATTCTGAGCTTTCGACCAACATGAAGCAAACGCAGCATACTGCCAGTGATAGTCCACCAGGCGATTTGGCACCTGGTCGACAGATTTGATCAAAAATCGAGAGACGGTCGCTGTAATGCTCAGTCTACGAGTCTCCAAACACGATGTGAAAGACTCACAATAGAAAGGCGGCCCCCCGAGCGACATCACTTCGCGATGACCACGGAAGAAGCCATTGGCCTCGGTTCCCAGGCTCTCCCAAAAGAATGAAGGGACCCGAAAGTTTTCCGTTAGTGTCTGCACAAGTCTAGTGTCGCCTGCCACCGTGGCGACATCGGGAAGGAAGCTACAAACTTCGTGAGTCTTGCGAAGCTGGGGATGCGGTTCCTCAGCTTGGCTTACCACAGCTTGAACCCGGCAGAACTAAGAATCTTGGAGCAGTCAGCATTGAAGACTGGACGCCGGCGAACGAATACTGACCGGCGGCCGCTGTGGAAGGCCCTCACTATCGCGTGTCTCGAAAAGCGCCAAAGTTTCTTGTACTCCACTGGTGGAAGATCTTCTGACCAGGTCCGGCGACTGCGTTGCAGCATCTGATCTGATTAAGGTGCGTCAGTACCATTCGCAGCAGTATTTGGTTCATGGGTCGCTTACGACCAATCCACCACAAGCCATTCTTGCTGTGTATCTTTAGCTGGCGGAGATCGAGATGTCATTATTTCAAAAGGAGCGAAGTTGTAACAAAAGCTGTGGGGCACTGGAGCCAGAAGATGCCACAAATGGAGATTGCTACGGCAGACAGACTGCTAATGACTTTAGAGCTCCAGCGTCACTCGTGGGTGTCCATTCACCCTCTGCGACAGCGTTCCTGCAGCCACGCCGCTGCCATCGAGAGTACACCCACCTAATAGCGCGCGCATTTGATGATGTGGCCGGACATGCATGAGAGACTTGGCCCCTGTTCATCAAACCTATCTCTAAAGGTTTTACGTCCTGGCGCGCGTTTCATGACTCGGAGCCACTTTGGTCATGAAGATCTCAAACCTTCTGAACGACAAAATTTCATTTGGCTTGACGTGACTTGAAGATTTGTCCCGATGAACCTTCGCACTCCTAGGATGCCAATCTCGACGGGAATCATGTGTCTGCAGGAGCCTGTGTGCCCGATCTGCATAAGCTGCCCCGGCAGGCCGGAGCCACAGTCACTCGATCAGGTCATTCAGGCTCAGCTGGCATCTCGTGTCGTTAGCCTGCATGTACAGGCATCGGCTTAATTGGACGCGACACTCCGACAGCTCAATAAAAACGGCTTTTCAATGCCTACTTGGGTGTGTCCTTTCGCGGCGGGAAGGAATAAGGCAGCAATGTCGTCATCGAAAACGACCGGTGTAAAATGAGTCATCGCCGTGCAATGTCCAATTCGACGCCTAAATATTCAGTGCTGTGCAAGTGGGTAAGGGCCTGGGGTTCTTGATCCCAAGCTCGATCGTGCCGAAGCTGAGGCCACACCTGTTTGAATTCATGCAGGACTATCACAAATTCCTTGGCTGCAGCAATGGTCGCTCAATGACCGGCTTTGAATTCGCGGGCTGGCAAGCCTGCTCATGTCCTGCTGTCCCGAAAATGGTCGGGATGCTCGAGAGCGATTCGGCGGCAAGAGAACTCGCACGCTTAACTTGTTGTTTAATAACAACCTTCGATCGCGGAGCTCAGCATGACTGTCAATCCTATTCCGACCTGCTGCAGCCATTTTCTCGCGTAGAACGGTGATGAGAATCTGACGAACTGATTCATCAGCATTGGCGTGACAGGAACGGCGTGGAGGCTAAGGCCAGATGAGAGGTGCCGGCAAGTTCACTCGAATTGGAAGGCCGATTATACACATACAGCTCCCGACGCTCTCCCCGCGGCAATGGCGCCTGGGCAAAATGTCTGGGCATGCTTGTTCAAGGGCATGATACATATACTGTATGCAACATTTACAACTCACTTCTTTGATCTCTATTCCTATCGCTTTCAAGACGAATGCACCAGGTCATGTCCATTTGTGTCTCTGATATGGAGCGCGGGACATGTATCGTTGCGAGTGTGCGTGTCTCAATGTCCGATTCTTGATGGAACAGGCGCCCGCCTCGGGCTTCCGGACATTCACGCCTGAAGCCCCGGCCGGGCTGGGAATCCTCAACCCAGATCGGACGGCTGACGAAGCCAACATCGAGAGTCATCGCGATTGAAGGACATGGCCATCGCATAGCCAAGAATTATAAATCATGAGGGATGCCGATGACAACTGAACTTCACGAGCACGCGCCACAATCATAAATCCCTTCAGTCAAAACAATTCTTGAGCATGGCCGACTTACGCGTTCTCGTCGTTGGCGCTTCCATCGCCGGGCCAGCAACAGCATACTGGTTGTCCAAAGCCGGCGCAAAGGTCACGGTCATCGAGCGATGGCCAAAATTCCGTGAAGGCGGCCACAACGTCGACCTACGCAGCTGTGGAATCACCGTGATGAGCAAGATGGCAGGTATGGAGGCCGCCGTTCGTGCAAAGAAGTGCAAATTCGAAGCGATGACTATGGTCCATGCGGATGGTCGACCAATCATCACATTTACGTCTTCTGGCAAAGTCGAGGCGCAATCATTAATGTCTGAATACGAAATCTTCCGTGGCGATCTCTCGCGAGTCATCATGGATCTGACCAAAGACGATCCAAACGTCGAATATGTTTTTGGCGAACAAGTCACTGCGATCCAACAGGACGGCAACGGTGGGCCAGCAACAGTCACCTTCATGAACGGCTATCCTTCAGCAGAATTTGACCTAGTAGTCGCATGTGATGGCGCAACATCAAAGACTCGCGCCATTGGTCTGGAGTGCGGTTTACGCGACTATGTCCACCCATTGAACACCTGGTGGGCCTACTTCTCCGTCCCTGGCGACCTTCTCAATGCCAAAAATGTCGGCCTGGGCTACACGGAAGCTCCCGGCAAATCCACCTTTGTGCTCTACGACGCCACCGGCAACAGAACGCGCGGCGGGTTCATGAGTGTCCATCCACGCAACGATCCGAACGCGCTCGCACATTTCCACGCCGCCAAGAAACTAGACACCGAGGGCCTGAAGAAGTACGTCGCGGAACGCTTCACGAGCCCCGCATGGAAGGTCCCCGAGCTCATCGACGCTTTGATGCAGTCGGATGACCTCTACGTCGGCGAGCTCGTGCAGATAAAAGCGCCAACCCTGCACCGAGGACGGTTCGTGCTCGTCGGCGACGCCGGGTATTCGACCGGGCCCACCGGCGGCGGAACAAGCATGGCCCTCGCGGGAGCGTATATCCTGGCAGGTGAAATCCTCCAACACAAAGGCGATCTTCCCGCAGGACTTCGAGCCTACGAGGATCGCATGCGGCCGATCATCAAGGATCTGCAGACGGTGCCTCCCGGAGTCCTGGCGGCGATGGGACCACAGACGGAGTGGGGATTGTGGGTGAGGAATCTCATCCTGGGAATCGTGAATTGGGGGATGAAATTTGGGAGTTTGTTCTCGTGGATGGGAGGGTGGTATTCGAGTGCTTTTGCGGGCGATAAATTTGGGTTGCCGGAGTATGAATGGGTTCGGTGAGAGACAGGAGCACGTTGAAGGATACGGCTACGATGATGATTTTCCTTGATGGAACAGGATTGGGACAGGATCGAAGTTTACTTTTCTCCTCTCTGGCGCATTTGACGACTATTATGATACTCCCCTCAAATCCTATTTGAACCTCGGTGCAGCCTCCGCGCTGGCCGTATGCAGTTCATATCTCGAAGGATTCCAATTAGGTGGCCATCTGCATGCGCTTATGCTATGATCCGGGAGTTTGAATTGTCAGCCCTGCCCTAAGTGTCGCCTCGATTGGACAAGACAGTGGAGGTGGACACCTTCTGAAGGACAGCAATAAAGAAATTTCGAATGTCCTTGTAAGAGCAACCCCTTCCTACATGTCAGAAATGGCGAAAGTCGCTTGCAGTACCCGCCGGAGTTCTTTCCTGTCCTATACTTGGCGAGTATCGTCGCTTATTGTGTCTTGTTGTTGTTTCTTCTGTGGCTTATGCTGCCCTCAGACTCCGTCTGATTGGTCGAAATCCGTGAGCTTTCTCTATGTTTCTCGTCTGCAAGATTGGAGCCTTGTACGTTAAACAGACGACATTCTTCAACCATCATCGATCTCTTCCTCGCTTAAGTACCATATCTGATAGAAACGTCCCACCTTCAGCATCGTCACTTCCCCTCACATGGCTTGCAGCATGGCTGAGATCTGGTATATTCGCTCAACAACTACAAGGATGTTGCTCATGCTCCGAGTGCATCGGTGCAGTAGGCGAGGACGATGACTTCCCTGCCCTGCGGCGTGGGCCAGAAGCTGCACTACCAAAGAATGGAAGAGACATAAAAGGTCGTCTTGAGAATCCGAAATCGATTCGACAATTGTATATCGCATACTCTTTCATCCTCCTCAGGAAGCGATACATCTTGCCTAAGGGATCTTCAACGCCATACCATCATCACTGCACAGTGCCAACTATGCGTCTCTCCACGTCCTTGGTTGCAATGGCGACGTTCTTGGTGCCAGCGACAACGGCGCGAGCAAGCGGATTCACGACAGCCAACGTCCTCTTCCCGGGAGGTCAGGCGATCATCGACATTGTGACTTCGAGCGCCAATGAAGTGATCACAGACGTCGTCATGCTCTTCGGCTTGTCCCCTGAGAAGGATTGGCGAAAAGGGGATCTCGGCTATCCCTTTATCAGCACGAAGATCCTCGGACGAGGTAGCTAGACGTAGAAACACATCCTGACAACGCGCTACGGTCGCTGATACAGACCCAAATTTGATCAGATCTCTCCAACAACCTCGACACAATGCGACACTTCATCGATGTCCCCGTCAGCGTATACTACAGTGGGCCGGCTGTGCTCAGCGCCGCACTCGTGTCGATGTACAACACCACAAACACACCCATCACGACGTACTACTACGCCAAGGTCAACATTACAAGGGACCCAGGCGTCTTTATATCGGGCATCGTGTCGAGCACGCAATACTTCCTGCCGAGCCCGTGTAACAAGAAGAGCTACTAGGATATTCCGCACAGGGCAGTTTTGAAAGATGGAGTAGCAGATTCGATTCTTGTCGTGTTCTACAGACGGTTTGGAGAGTGTCTGCTGATCGTTTGAATGTGTGGTCTTCGCTCGGTCGATGGAGCTGAATTGTGTCAGCGAGGACATCCTCCTAGGGTTGTCAATATTCCGGTCGCTCTGTATGGCACACAGAAATAGCATCGCTCTTCCCCTGAACGAGACCCATCTTTGTAACGTGCGTGCCGAATGAATGTAACGATGATAATTAACAGAGAGAAAGGCACCCTCCCTTTGTTCCGAACGAGACCTGCGTCATTCCCGGCACTCGCGTCGGGCGGCCGCGGGCGGGATTTGATGGACCCTGTTATTCCATATTGGCGGCGACGCGGGGCGCAAAGTGATCGACAGCGCCACTGACCTGGAATTCGTATTCTCGTTGCTATTCTGGTGATGTTACGTCTTGTTGTATGAAATTATCATATGTGACTGTTTTTCTCAATGAGTTCGCACGTGGTTCCAAGGTTCCTTCACGACGACTAGACTTGTACATACAGGGCTTCATATGCCCAAAAGAGGAAATATTCTACGGTTATTGTACCAGCGCGTGTCCTCCTCTGGTCTGGTATGCGCTTAATCCTTAGTTCGCACGACATCGTTATGTTACAGTAGAACCTCAACGCAACGTCAGAATGGTCGGCGGTCGATCAATGACGACAGTCGAGACACAAACAACGTGACGATGAGAGAAAGTTTGTGCACACGACATAAATAGAACATGAGGTCTCACGATGCTTATATAGACTTCACGTCGACACCCATCTACTCAACAACCTCAGCAACACCAACAATACCAAACTCCCATCTATTCTAATCCATCGCCAACAACCCTATACTCAAAATGCGCACCACATCCCTCATCACTCTCGCGGCCACCGCCCTGGTCTCCTCTGCCAGCGCCCGAATCAATGGCTTCACCCTTCCGGACACCATCTACCTCGACGCCGACGTCCCGATCACCATCACGACCGAAGGCTACATTCAATCCGTGCAGGACGTGAGCATTGCCTTCGGAATCGCGCCAGCCGCACAGGCAGACCCAAAGACATTGGGCACGAGGCTTTTGAGCAGTAAATTCTTGGGACCTGGTAAGAGTTCCCTCTGACAAGCCTATCGTCAACATCACGTTTTGTTTTCCTAACGACGACATGCTCAGACAACTCCAACACTTACGACAATATCACCCACTACGTCCACATCCCCTCATCCCTGGCCAGCGGCGATGCCGTCGTCACGGCCGCCTTGACCTCGCTCTACGGCGCCTTCTACGGTCCCGTCTTGACGTACTTCACCAAGAACGTCACTGTGTTGACGAGACCCTAGAGTCTATTTCCATCGGGAGAGGGAGAGAGAGGGAGGATTGGCAAAGATAGCGAAGTTTCTTCCTTGACGCATCATCAGCGATCAGCATCATCACACGCATGCAAAATTAATAATTGATTAATGAAGAACACAACAAAATGGAACTGTGACATGTTTCAAAACGTACCTACTATTCCATTCCTACACATTCACTTTCAAAAAGCACTCCGCGCCTTCCACTACTGAGCCCCACGGCAACGACAGCCGCAATCTCACAGATCAATCTTCGCGGCAACAATCGCCTCGCTCCCAAAGCCCGTCGCAAACAACCACCCCTGCTTCTTCCCTCCGTTCTCCTTCGGGTTGATCCCCACAAGGACAGATCCACTGGCACTCCTCAACATCTTCCCATCATCCGCGAAGACCAACCTCTTCTCCCAGACATTGCCTCCTTCGAATTTGACCTCGCGCTCATTCGACCTGACATGGTAGACACACGACGCAATGGGCCGATCCAGGTGCGGGAAATCATCCGCCAGGGCTCCCGCGCGGAGGAGTCCCGGTACGATGTACCCGCTGGCGTTGTTCCCGGGCGTTGCGTAGATGTCGTCGTAGTAGCTCGGGTTGTCGATCGTGCTGTCGAGCTGGATGCGTTCGAGTATCTCCAGCTCGCGGGAAGCGCCCGGTGCGAGATTCCTTCGTACGCGCGTAAGGACCCCGCCGCTGGCGTCGGCGATGCTGATTTCTGAAGGGTGTAGCGGGCTGGAGCGTGCGAGGCCGTTGCTGTTGTGGATTTTGGAGAGGGCGATGCTGGCGGTGACGTGGGCGAAGGCGTCTTGGCCATCGGCTTCGCCGAAGTCGACGTGCACGACGGTGGTGGACGGGGCGGTGTTCTGGTCGCCGACGTCTTCCCAGATGCGTCGGGCACCGCTGAGGTGGTTGTGGTCGTTGGAGACGTAGAAGGATGTTGGAGAGGTGGCGAGAAGGTCGTTGGGGGTTTTAATCAGTGGGTGTCGGACGGAGCGGATGTAGTCTGCTTCGTCGGTGTTGAGATCGTGTTTGAAGACGTCGATTTGCGCGGTCTCGAAGGCGTCGGAGAGGGCGGGCTTACGGAACCATCGGTCTGGCTCGGGGAGATGGTTGATGACGAAGATCCAGAGGATGGAAGGATCAATGGGATCGTTGAAGAGGTCGATCCCGTGCGTGACCATCCCCGTTGTGTGTCCATTGAGCTTCAAGACCGTGGATTCGAATGTCGTTGGATCGACACGGATGATGGTTCCACGGCCTACGGCTGTCGGATTGGTGACGACGGCGAGCGATGGGAACCAAAGGGATCGCTCTTTGGCAGTCTCCTGACAAGCCGCGAAGAGCTTCTGCGTCGTGGTCTCAAGGTGGAGGTCTTCACATTGGATCGAATTGGGGATAATCTTCAAAGGTTCGACGCCGTGGATGTTGACGATCTTGTCTGCCGCACGCCCGAGCCCAAGGGTCGTGTAGCGTTGCTTCACCGGCGAGTAGAGGACACTTCCGATGGCGGCCAGACCGCCGACTGCAGCGAGAGCGATAGTAGCCATGATGTTGAATTACTATCAATAATCGTATTCTTGGAAGTGATAATCTATATTGCACGGATTTTCGCCCAGATGGCCATCATTCATCCAACAAGCTGCGGCGGAGGTCCATAGCTCTCGGGTGGCTTGCAGCTGTCGCATTGCACACGAATGACGTTGCCGAGCCTAGGGTTAGGGTTCATGTTGGGGTTGACCCGATGGTCAAGAGTCAGTCAGGACATCTCCAGTGTACCTTGGTAAGGTTGAACCTCCCTAGGATGATTGTGAATTATCAGTCAAGAAATTGGATTCGTGAGACTGGGTACGTGATGATGTCGCGTTGACAGTGGGTCAGGCGCCCCGGTGTACGATTATGACAAAATTTGAGTGTTCTCGGGAATATCTCGGTGTTCAGTTGCACGCAGGGCGCTTCTACAATGCATTCAAGTAGTAACATTACTGCCACTTCCTCTTAACTCCCTCCAACCACGCGTCAAACCCCTCTGTCCTACCCGCCTCAATATCATCAACCATGGCCTTCGCCTCTTCCGTCAATGGATAACCCTGAATAATATCATGATCCTTCGAACAATGGCACCTCTCAATCGTCCCCTCCCTGACCTTCTTCACACAACTCCCGCAGAAATTCGTGTTATAGCACATGCGACAAAACCAGATCTCCTCGTAATCCCACGTGGCAGTCTCACAGTTCGCATCGCAATGCCAGAGGACATAGAACCCGGCAAAGACGGCCGATGAAGGGACTGGCGGCACGGCTTCTCCGCGGGCTTTGGCGGCTTGGTAGGATTGCAGGGCGTGGAGCGTGATGCCGAGGGCGATGTGCGCGTTGGAGAGGTCTCCTGCGCGAAGGAGGGACTCGCCGAGACTGCAGTAGGCCGATTGCCGTTTGAAGTGGTCCTCTATGGTGAGGGTTTTGAGGGCTTCGGTGATGGAGGGTCGCATCAGGGCTTTCCAGTCATTGTCAGTGACAGCGGCGGCAGGAGGTGGGGAGGCGAATTCGTGGCACCAGAGCCCATAGAGGGAATTGGCGAAATGGGCTTTGGGATGAGGTCTCAGGTAGTGCTCGCGGCTGCTTAGGTCTTGGAGTTGCGCAATGTCGTCGGTGTAGTCGGACCCTGCGTGATGAGCGGTGATGGCTCGCTTCAAATATGTTGCTGCCATGAAGCTGGTGATCTGGTGCCAATCGCGCGCGACGTACTGTCCACCCTCGTAGCCCTTGAGAAATTTGACACACATGGTGAGGTAGTCATCGGCAGGCTCGCTGTGTTCGTACAGCCATTGAAACCAATTGGTTGTGGCCCAGAAGCTTATCGGACTCATCTGGATCCCATACCCAGGATAATCGAGTTCCGCCACCCCTCTCTGTACGAGAGCCACGAGCGCATTCACATTCGGTGCTGTTTCGAATAAGTCCAGGATGCCTGATGTAAGGTCATCCTCTGTCGTCAGGTCATCGATTCTCCAGTCGTCCAGAAAACATGCCCATATCGTCTTGGAGTATTGTTCGACACCATATTTACTCAGCCCGTCACAGAGTTTCTCGATCTCCTCGAATTGCTGCACGTTGCACATGGCCTGGATGTAGTTCCGAATGGCGAGGCTGAATAGACGGCGCGCTTGGAGATCGCGTGGGTACGGGAAGCTGAGCAAGCCGTATAATGCTGCTCTGGCGGTCTTCACTGCTGTATCCTTGTCATGTAAAGACCAAGTTCCTATGATGGCCTGGAGTCGTGTAACCATCGTGGCCAGATTTTCATTCTTGAGCAAGATCGCGATGGCGTCTTGGAAGGATTTGATTCCTTTCGCGTAGTCTTCAAGTCCTGCGCCGTGACATTGACCCAGACCGGCATGTGCAGGCCATGCCTCAGAATCTATCTCGATCGCTTTCTCAAAGCAGGCTATGGCGGCTGTAGCTCGCTCTCGGTCTGCGGGTTTGGGAAGATCGACGGGAGTCGTGGTCAATATCGCCCAGCCTACACACGTGTACCAATGAGCCGTCCTTGGGAGTGTAAGAGACTCAGCCGTCTGCTGAATTTGTGCCGCCGTCATGTGCACTTTGGTGTTATAGTATCTGTCCTCAGGCCCTCCATCCGCTTCTTCTTGTCCCAGTGTGTTAGCGCACTAAGCAAGGGTCAGCGTATTTCCAAGTCATCCATATCGTGGTCCATACCAAATGATCGTAGGCACACAATATAACAGCAGCGTCCTGTTCGTCTACTTGCCACTTCACATAGAACTCGTCGTCCCAACCACTCCGTTCCAACCACATGCGCGCACACACATCCGCCATCGGTTTGAACAGCGCTCGAACGGACTCCTGCACCTGTGGTACCCATGATTGCTGTTCAGTTGTAAGTGCTTCGATATGTTTGACGAGTAGCTGCTGTATTAGCAATAGATTGTCATCACCGAAGAATGATAGTATGACGAAACGATTTGGGTGTATGAATGCCCATTTCATCATGGCCTCGCCACACATGAACAAATTAGCTAATGATTGCGCGAGCAGAGTAGTCTCGCTACTGAACTCATCGCTGAGATCAAGGTCTTTGATCTCGAAATGCCAGCCATACGTATACTTGAGGTAGAAGCCGGCCGTGCACACCGGTACGGTAGCATAGGCGTACTGCAGCTCTAAAATTGCGCGGAAAAAGCGGTGGTTCGCAAGTTTAGAGCTCTCGAGGTATATCGGTCGTTTGGGCATTTGACTTTGAGGGCCGACCTCAGTTTGGAGAAATTCCCGAATGCGGGCGTGGGCAAATTTGATCTTGAAATCCTCCCAGTGAACCGGAATATCACCATTTCCAGAGTTTGCTATTGGAAGCTGTCTGCTTGTAGTGCTTCCTGAGTCCGGTTCAGTACCGGAAATTGAATGCCCATCAAGATCCAGATCTTCGTCGTCATCCGATCCGTCGAGAAAGTCAAGGTCCCACGCAGGGCTTTGCGAGGTAGCCATCACATTCTCAAGCTTGTGCGGCTCTTCATTGGTATATCGTTGCTCATGGAGCTCGAAAATACTGAAGAATTTCCATCTCAGATCATCTTCGAGCATGTAACAGCTTTCCTTGATTGTGAGACGTAGCAATAGGAAAAGCTCAGCGATGGTAATCTCTTTATTGTCGCCAAGGACCCATAGGAGAATGTCGCGAAGATAGGTTTGTGTCGCTGGAACATCCGTGGCGAGCTTCTTCAATGTATGATGGATCATCTCGTCCAGACCTTGCGGACATTCTTGGACAGTCTTGAGGATCGACTCCGGAGAGTGCGAGGGAATCTGATCAAACACCAAGCTGACCCACTTGAACATTCCTTCTGCTCGACTACTGATGCTTTTGTAGATGTTTCTGGCGATTGCCTTCCTCTTTGGATGACGTCGTAGGATCTCCAGACCTTTGATCTGCCTCTCGATGTAGGTCTTGATGTCGTCGCTGTTCTTTTCTGCAGTGATGGTCAGACTATTGGCTGGTGAGTATATCCCGAGATCACGGAAGCCCGGGTCTGCGAAAACGTCCTGCCGTGTGAATAAAACGACTCTGAGTTTGTAGACCTGCGTTGCGTTGCTCTCCTTGACGAGCCCGGCAAGACATGAGAAGAGATGTGATCTCTCTTGCTGGGAAGTTTCATCAACACCATCGATGACGATAACCGCAGATTCGGCATTGGCAGCGTTGGTCGATCGAGCAAAGTATTCTACGAAGACTTTGTCCCAGAAGCTCCAATTGCCGGAGATGCTGTCCCGTTGTTTCAGAGCTTCAAGTGCATGGAGCTGAAATGCCTTGTTCTGTCGCCCAATCTGATGTGCAGTAGATTTCAAGAGACTCTCGGAGCTCTGCAGAGTGCTTGTATCGTCTTTGAAGTAGGCGATACTGACGAGTTGCTGGTTCGATGCTTTCAGAATCTCATATGTATGAGCAGCCAAAATTGTTTTGCCCGTCCCTGGTCGTCCAAGAACCCAGAAAACAGGAAAATTGCCGTTGAGCCAGGTCTTGAACGATTCCTCGTCGTAAATCCAGAGGCCCGTATCGGGCGCCAATAATTTCAAACTATGCACATGCTTCTGATCAACAGCGGCAAGAGTCTCGGGAGCTAATGAACTACTCAGCAGTCCTTCATCAGCTTGACTAAGAGCCTCCTGCTTTGCCTGGGCCAGTGCTTGGTTCGATTGCTCGACGCCCAGCTTGACCTCGTCGAGCTTCTCTGCGATGTCACGGACGTCGCCTTGTGTCTCACCCACCCGAGCATACGTCAGAGCCGTGACGAGGCCAAGTTCACCATCGATGAACCTGCGCAATTTGGCCAACGCCTCGCCAATCTTGTCATCTTGCACGAACACCGAGCGAGCCCATTGTTTGAAGCGTCCTCGCTTGACGAGCTTCTCGGCCTGACCGACAATCTCCAGAATGTAGGCTAGGATGGACGTGATCTTCGCACGAAGTGATTCCTCTGTGGAGTCGCCTTGATATGACTCAAAACGAATTGTCACATTTCCTACCTGTTCGAAGAGCTCCTCGATGCTATCGTAGGACTTTGTGACGGTTGCGCATGCCCGAACAAGATGTGCTGTGGCGCCAAATGCGACAGATACAGGAGCATATGGTGTGGTACCTATGGCCTTGCTCGCAAGGTCTAGGAGAGGGATCAATGGAGTGAAACAGAGCGACAACTTGTCAGCGAGGTGTTTATGCTGCGCCCGGAAGTCGCCGAATTCTTTCTCTTGAGATGCGAGAGTCTTCTGTAGCTCTTCCAAATTTGTAATCTTCGCGAATGTATCGTCATTGGCTAGGATCCTCCCGGTGGCCTGCTCATAGACTTGTGTCGCCTTGGTCCATAATGGCTCGAATCCAGCCGTCGCAGTATTCGCCGTGCTCATGACGGCGATCATTGATTGTTCTGAGGTAAGACATTTTGACGTTCTACGTTATCATACTTATGCGTTCAAAGAAATAACACTCTTGGTTCGTTGGCACCCGTCAGCCCATCTGCTTTCGATCAGCTGATGGACGGTCTGGCCTTCTCACTTGCAGGACACTACGCGGCAAGAAGACAAGCTTGCTCAATTCTGAGCCGCATGAAGAGGAAGTAATCCTGCAGCATAAAGAGCTCGGCGACGATGGACGAGATGAGGTGTGAAGATGCTTTGCGTTAAAATATGGCGGGATCCTTATGGGCGAGACTCCATGAGGTTCCGGGCAGTAGGCTGCCGTGATGTAGTAGTTGATTGGAGACAGATTGATATTCAATAACCATTGAGATGACTTATCCAAAACGACACATATTGATCAGTCACCTGAAAGCCGTCAAGATGAGAATCTCTCAGTATCTACTGACGAAACATTCCATTTGACCTGCGTTTTCTTGCGCAAACGCGAGATAAGACGTATCAGGTCAATGCACAAATGCTTTGAAACTTATGAATTATGCCACTCCTGCTTATCGAAAGCTACAGCACAGCGTAATTGAACGGATACTGGCGGTACACCAACCCTAATACCTGCTCGGGCGGAGCCTCAACATGCGGCAAAAAAGTAACGGTCGCGCGAATTCCACACCTCCCACGCGGCCCACGCCTGTCCCCGGGCTTATTGCGGCGATGACAGCTGCCCAGATCTCATCCGTTGTTGGCGTCCCACCGCAAGCTTTGCCCTTTCGCCGCCGCGAACCGATGAAGCTACTGACTGATCCCCGGGGCCAGCAAACATAGATCATCGTCACTAATAATACTCCTCCCTCGCTCGCTCTTTCCTCCGACAACACAATCACACCACCACCATCACCGCCACCCTCACCACTTCGACATACAATCCGAGTCCGCCTTCCATCTGCCTCTCAACTCATATCATCAAAGCGATGCTTGCACGATCAATTCACCGTGCCTCGCCACGGGCGGTCCTACAGAGCTCCAACACATTCCGCACCACATCATTACTCCAGAGCACATTCCTCCAGAGAAGAGGTTTCGCCACTCCCGCCGACGAGAAGGATCTCATTGTCATCGGTGGAGGACCGGCTGGTTACGTTGCGGCCATCAAAGGTGCCCAGGAAGGTCTCAAGGTAACATGCATCGAGAAGCGTGGCTCACTGGGAGGAACTTGTCTCAATGTCGGCTGCATTCCATCAAAATCGCTCCTCAACAACTCACACCTCTTCCATCAAGCCAAGCATGACTTTGCGAACCGAGGAATTGACGGCGGTGAGAACATAACTCTCAACCTGGAGAAAATGATGAAGGCCAAAGATACCTCCGTTACTGGCCTGACCAAGGGCATTGAATTTCTGTTCAAGAAGAACAACGTCGAATACGTCAAAGGCGCGGGATCTTTCGCGGATGAGAACACTATTTCCGTCAAGCTGAACGACGGCAGCGAGACCACTCTCCGTGCCAAAAACATCATCATTGCGACTGGATCAGAACCTACACCTTTCCCTGGCCTCGAGGTCGACGAGAAGAAGATTGTCACTTCTACTGGTGCCATTGCATTGAAGGAGGTCCCCAAAAAGATGATTGTCATCGGAGGTGGTGTCATTGGTCTCGAGATGGGTAGTGTATGGAGCCGTCTCGGTGCGGAGGTTACTGTGGTGGAGTTCTTGGGTGCCATCGGTGGACCCGGTATGGACATGGAAGTCGCCAAGCAGACACAGAAGATTCTCCAGAAGCAGGGTCTGAAATTCAAGCTCAAGACCAAGGTCGTGACTGGTGATGCCAGCGGCGAGGGAGTCAAGTTGGAGGTCGAGGCTGCAGACGGAGGCAAGCAGGAGACGGTAAGATTTCTCCATAATCTAAATTTGGAACAGGTAACTAACATGACATCACACAGCTCGAAGCCGACGTCGTCCTCGTCGCCATCGGTCGCCGACCCTACACCTCTGGCCTCAACCTCGAACAAATCGGCCTCGAGACCGACAAACGCGGCCGCCTCGTGATCGACTCCCAATACCGCACCAAGATCCCGCACATCCGCGTCATCGGCGACTGCACCTTTGGACCTATGCTCGCCCACAAAGCCGAAGACGAAGGCCTCGCTGCCGTCGAATACATCACCAAGGACTACGGCCACGTCAACTACGGCGCGATCCCAGCCGTGATGTACTCACACCCGGAGGTCGCCTGGGTCGGCCAATCGGAGCAGGAGCTCAAAGAAGCCGGGATCAACTACAAGAGCGGCAGCTTCCCCTTCAGCGCCAATAGCCGCGCTAAGACCAACCTCGACTCCGACGGCTTCGTCAAATTCCTCGCGGACGCCGAAACCGACCGCATCCTGGGCATCCACATCATTGGCCCCAACGCCGGCGAGATGATCGCCGAGGCGACCCTCGCCCTCGAATACGGCGCTTCCACCGAGGACATCTGGCGGACGTGCCATGCCCATCCTACCCTCTCCGAGGCATTCCGGGAGGGCGCAATGGCGGTCTCGTCCAAGGCGATTCACGCGTAGAGAAGAGAATGGGCGTTGGGTTGCTAGTAAGACAAGATGAGGACGGAGGTCTGACAGAAATGGCGAAGGAGGAAGAGTGTGTCCCTCTGTTGCACACGTGTAATTCCTCCAGCCCTCCTATGCCCTAGATCGCACGAGAGGGAGAGGACAGGGAGAGGAAGCCGAGTGGAGATTTCGCCGGATGGTCGAGAGCGCTTGCATTATTTGTGTAGAAATCCTTGCGTTTGTTTTTTTTTCCCTCCTAACTTCAAGGTTCTGTTACTATTTTTTTATTGGTTCTGCGGTGCGTGGGCGCGTATATAATCCCAAGAGGTTCATCCATCGTTATACCCCTGAGTCTTGTCCGGATCTACATACACCGTTTCCGTACTCCTGTCTCATCTTATTTGCCACGAGCTTTCTGATCACTGGCATATGGCCTGATAGCTTTACTCCGCCCCAAATCGCCAGCTAAAGCTATCACGCCATGTGAGTATGGGAAACCATGTCCGCGATGATTTGTAACGCAGAAAAAGCCGGAAATAAAACGAAAGCATTGAAACAGTTTGGTAATTTATGTGCACCTCGCTCTAATGTAGTAGAAGAAACACACACATGGCCGTTCTCGTTCCGATTCCATCCCTCTCCTCCTCCGCCCTCCTGCCTCCAAACAGCGCGGATTTTCCAACCCAAGTAAAGAAAGAAAAGCCCCCCGTTTCAAGGCTTACATCTGCCCATATATCTCGGATACAGACAAGTATCCCGGACGGTGTGCTGCTTGCACAACCAGGCCAAAAACCGCTCCAGCCCCAATCCATAGCCGCCGTGAGGACTCGTTCCGTAACGGCGCTGATCCGTGTACCAGTAGTAGGGCGCGGGATCCATCTCCTCGCGCTTGTACGCCGCCATGAGTTCGTCGTAGTCCCACATGCGCATGCTTCCACCGACGATTTCCCCGACGCCGGGCATCAGGCAGTCGACGGACTCCGTCACCCGCGGATCGTCTTTGTCGCGCGCCATGTAGAAGGCCTTGATCTCGGTGGGGAAGTGGGTGAGGAAAATGGGGCGGTTGATGATGTCCGTCATGCGGCGCTCTGCGGCTTCGGCGATGTCGTCACCGAAGCTGTGCGGTTGGTCGTTTTCGTTGGGGATGTTATGCTCCACGAGCCAGTCGATGGCGTCGCTGTAGCGCATGCGTTTGAAGGGCCGTTCGGGCATGGTGAATTCTGGATGGAGGTCTTTAAGGAGCGCGGCGATGCGTGGGTTGCCGAGGACGATTTCTAACACGCCGCAGATGAGCTCTTCGAGGTGGTCGAGCAGGTCGTCGAAGGTGATGAAGTCGAGTTCGGCTTCGACGTGCGTGTACTCAGACAAGTGGCGACGGGTGAGGGATTTCTCGGCGCGGAAGGATTTTTCGATACAGTAGACGTTGCCGGCAAAGGGAATGGCGGTTTCGAGGTAGAGTTGGGACGATTGGGTGAGGTAGGCTTGTTCGCCGTAGTAGTCAAAAGAGAACAGAGTGCTTCCTCCCTCGACTTGAGTTTGCACAAGTGCAGGAGGAGAGACCTTGACATAGCCAAGTTCGTGGTATTTCAAATTGAATGCGTGTTCGACAGCGTCACGGACCAGCAATACAGCAGATGCAGTCTCGCCACGAAGGACCAAATGTCGCATATCCAGCAAAGTTTGTGCATCACCCTTGGCTTGGACTTTGTTGGTGATGGCGTCGTCACCGCCTGGCGCCTTTCCGACAATCTCAAAGTAATCCGCGTGCAGTTCGCGGTTGAGCGGAGCGTGAGCACCGGCGGGAACCTCCCACATCTCGCCAACAATCAACATACTTGTCTCACGAGTGAGGGTGAGCGCATCGTAGGTCTTGGCCAGAGGTCCGGTCAAGACACACTGCATGAAACCATACCCATCGCGCAATGTCACGAACAGCACCTCTTTCTGTTTCCGCTCTCGGTGGACGCGACCCATGACACGAACTCGTGTTCCTCGACCGGCGCTGCTGTAGTCCACATCTTTGGGTCGATCTCCGGCGCCCAGCTTGACGATCTCGGGTCGTGTCTCGGCGAGGTGAATTTTGACAGCCTTGGGCAGGCTCTTGTCTTCGGTGATGATGATCTTCTTGGCATCCTCATAGACCCGCTGACGCTCCTCATCTTCTTTCTGTTGACGGATTGCCAGCTCCTTCTCTTTGCTCGCCTTTTTCTTCTGGACATCGGCATAGTTGGCAGCCTTCTTCAGAGCGGCCTTGGCTGCCGGCTTGTATGTGGCTTCCGTCTCATCGCCTTCTTGCTTCTTGACGAGGTATTGCACCTGATCGGAGTGTTGTAGGTAGGCATATTGGATGGTCTGGAAAGGCTTTGATTCGGAGCCATCAGCATCGGAGGAGTCCTTGCCTGTGACCTCGTCGATGTGAATCGTCGGTTTCGTCGCGTCTGCCATGTTGGCGGTTATGTGGTGATGGATAGGAAACAGAGAAGGAATGCTCAACAGAGCGAGATCTAACACGAGGATCGCCGAATGCCAGTGAAAGGAAATTATGAGTCAACTCCCAAAGATAACAAAAATATACCTCGATATTATTGCTGTGCAATACTACCAGGTGCTACAGTGTTCCCTCTCGGAATGGGTGGCTTTCCCCGCCCGAATTCCAATGACTCCTCCCTCTTTCTTCGGCGGAGGACAGCCTGGACCCCACCATCGCTGACGTACAATCAGGAGAGCGATAGACACAGCTTTATCATCGGCGGGGAGTCTTTCTCATCCATTCTCAACAAATATTATCACGGTACTTTTTGTGGTGATGGAAATGCCCCAAGGCTGATAATTGGCCGACTGACGAGCATCCAGAGTGACGATCTCATTCGTATGGGGCCTCACATGAAGAAGATGTTTTATAGGTGATGCTGATCTGAATCGACGTACGTGTATGTATATACAATGTCCACGATGCAGATGCCGGCAGTACTCGTACCCAACAAGGAGAATCTTGCACAACGACTTATATAGATCATACAAGAAATTCCGATAACATGATAATGTGATGCACGCCTCATTTTGTCCCAATAGACCAGATCCTCCATCACCGTCATGGCATCGATCCCAAATTTGAACACGCTTCGGACAGGGCGACGAGGCCCACGACTCCGCGGCGGACGTCGAGGCGGCCTACCAAATCCCGGCGACGACGAACAATTCGCCAACAACGAACAAGACGTAGAAGCCGGCAGAAATGCCGTCGTGCAGCAGACCGATCACGATGCCAGCAGCAGTCGGATGAGCGCCGTCTCGATGGGATATCTCGAAGACGCCTACGCGGAAACCTTCTTCCCACCAAACTCGCCAGTCGCGAAAAGATATCCCATCATCAACCGCGGCACGTACGTCCGAACCACTGCCATTGACCAACTCGTCCTCCGCTTTCTCAAACAAAACCAAGAGCAACCCAAACAAATCATCTCCCTCGGCGCCGGCTCTGACACGCGCTTCTTCCGTCTCTGCGCTGGCACAACCTATCCTGTAATCTACCACGAACTCGACTTCGAAGCCAACGTCATCCCCAAACGGACCTCCATCCGCGCCTCTCCAGCTCTATCCCGACTCATCCTCCCCAAAGACTCCACCCAAGGACCCTCCTACCACCTCCACGCCATCGACCTTCGCGACCTAACCCTCAAATCTCCTCCCACAATCCCCAATCTCTTGAGTGATATCCCTACTCTCCTCCTCAGCGAATGCTGTCTCTGCTACCTACCACCCGAAACAACCAGTAGCATCCTCTCGTACTTCACCATGAACATCCCACACGCATCTCTGGGGATAATCCTCTACGAACCCATCCGACCCACGGATGCCTTCGGACGGACAATGGTGACCAATCTCGCGAGTCGAGGGATCCACATGCAGACCATTCAGAAATACTCTTCGCTGACAGCGCAGCGGCAGAGATTACGCATCGCGGGCTTCGAGGCGGGACAAGGTGCGAGGGATGTTCTGGGTCTTTGGAAGGAATGGATCGATGCGAACGAGAGGAAGAGGGTTGAGGGCCTGGAGTGGTTGGATGAGGTTGAGGAGTGGGAGTTGTTGGCGAAGCATTATTGTGTTGCGTGGGGTTGGAAGGAGGTGGTTGAGGATGATGGTGGAGGAGCGAAGGGGTGTTTTGGACGGGCTTGGGGAGAGGTGGAAGGTGGTGAGACGAAGGGTGAGGATGATGGCGATGTTGAAATGATGCGGCGGTTCTGACGCAGTAACAACAAGCTCGACTCGGCGTCGCGGTGGCACTGCTTTCTGTATTCTCCATCTGGCAGAGTAGCGAAAAGTGGGCAATTCTCGTGATTTCGGCCTCTTCTGGAACGTAAAAATGCCTAACGAATAAATTACATGAAAATTTCAGTGCGGAACAAAACACCACTTGATTCTTTCTCCGTGACGCCCAAACAAACGTGTAGCCCCTAACCCGTGAGATGCACCTTGTTGCTGACCTCTGATGGCTATCTCTTCGCCAGAAAACGACCTCTCCCTACTCTTGAACTGACGAGCAGAAAACTCATCCCGCAACCACACGCAGCCATTTCGCGATTTTCTGGCATTCCAACAAGATCGTAGACCTCGACGGGTGGGCGGCCGCTCTAGATTTCCCCGATCATCCTTGAGCTGACATGCAGTGATGTATGATAGACTCGATTCTGTGAATAACGTGCCTCAACGCAGGTAGCCTCCGAGCAATAGCCATTTCTTGCGTGTTTGACCTTCGATCATTTCAACGCGCGTCGCAATTCGAAATGGCCAGTTTTCACCTCGATGATACCACTCCTCCGTCTGTTCCATTGATACAGTCCCTCATGACAACTCTTCAAATCGCCCAGCGATAACTGGCATATCTCCCCGCTGTCTCCGACTTCCGGATGATCTTTACCACCTGTCCTCTCCGTAATCCCAAATACCTCGCCATCGGATCGTCCACGCGAATCCGCGGCAACTGCGTCTCCTTCAACCGATACCTCTCCAAGAGGCCCTTCTTCTCCTCCGCCGAGAGCATGATGTGTTTGGGCACGAGGTCATGTTTGCTGATGTTCACCAGCAACTCATCCTCCCGGAAAATCTCCAGGATCGTGGGGAGAACACTGGGGATGAGTTTGTATGCCGAGGCCGTCGGTACGCCCTGCGTGATGAAGATACCCGAGAAGTAGTTTTTCTCGCTGAGCAGCTGCACGAAGTTCTTCAGGAATTTGATGCCCAGGCTCGTCTCTTCGCTGAATTCGACGTGGATCGTGCCGATCGTGGGTTCCGGCTCGGGCTGGCCTGCGCGCGGGAGAGGCGTGTATTTACGCAGCATGTGTTCGGTCGGGCGGGCGGTGAAGTTCATTCGCGTTCGTTGGGGAGCGCCTTGCTCGTCGGCGTAGTCGCGTCGGAAGTCGTCGAGGCTGATGTTGCATTCTTCGTCGGTGAGCTCGTAGCCCTGTTGCGAAGTGATTAGTATGTGGGAGTGACGGCTGAAGTTTGCAAGTGATGCATACTCGGTCTTGACACATTTGCTTCACGGTCCTCATGATGCGCCAGAGGCGGGAAAGTTGTCGCGCATTCTCGTCCGACATGGTGTGAATCGGTCGCGCTTAGGTACCGCTGTCAATCGTGCGCCCCTCGGGCTTTCGTATGGCGATTTGTGGTATTTGAGAGCTAAACCGATTGAGAGGAAATCTATCTCGAAACGTGGATTGTCCTGGGCGTGGAGTCGTGATTATCTTGATCGGTGTACTTGAAATCCACGACAGATGCGCAGACAATTTGACGCATTCGTTTTCAGGAAAGCTTGGACCCGGCACGGGAAAAGATACGGTACGCGGCGCGGTTGCCGACAAGGGTAAACTTTGAGTTTTGGCGGCTCCTCTATTCCGGGCCGGGGTTCGGATGTGCGGTCATGCTGACTCAGCTCCCGCCTGATCTTGCATGATCGTGGAACTATCGTACCTGCAGCATCTCCTCTTCCAAGGTCGTTTTCGCATCATCTTTCCGTCTATACTCTCCCCAGGAAGCACCGCAAGCTAGGACAACGGATATCTCGAGATCACTGGGCAGTAATATTCAGTTGCTCACAGTCTCGGGTCTGCATCACCAGGATCGGTCGAGCTTGCAGAACCCCGGACCGCAGATCAGTTCACGACGATCGCCCGTTGAGAGAATATCTCGTTTCCTCCCACAGACACCTTCCTCGCGCGCTCTCTACCCACAAAGCTGCTGTGTCTACTACTGCTGTAGACAGATGATCGGTCGAAGATAAGGACATGGACAGCAGCGTGCTGCGCTTGTTGCAGGACAAGCTCTACGACAAGCGAAAGGCCGGCGCACTCGAGCTCGAAGCGAATATTCGATCAGCTCTTGCGGAAAACAACCATGACCGGATCGCCAAGATTGTCCGACAGCTCTGTCATGATTATGCCTATGCCGTGCACCAACCTCATGCCCGAAATGGAGGACTCATCGGTCTTGCTGCGGCAGCAATAGCTTTGGGACCGGTAAGATAACAGTCAATCATGGTGGACCCACACATGGCAGCACCTATCTAACAGGTGTAGGAAGTGGCTCGATATCTCCGAGAAATCGTTCCCCCTGTTCTGGCATGCTTCTCCGACCAGGATGCCCGGGTGAGATATTATGCATGTGAGAGCATGTACAACATTGCCAAAGTCGCCAAAGGAGAGATTCTCATCTACTTCAACGACGTCTTTGACGCCCTTTCCAAATTGGCGGCAGATACAGAGTTGTCCGTCAAAAATGGCGCCGAATTGCTGGATCGTCTGGTCAAAGACATAGTGTCCGAATCAGCTGCCACCTATGCTTCCATACTCCTTCCCGATCTTCCCTCGGCACCAAACGACGCGGGCGATGGCTCGCTTAGTCACAGTCAGGAGATTTCCACGGCTTTCAGCTTACCCAAGTTTATCCCACTACTCCAAGAGCGGATTAATGTTCAAAATCCATTTGCTAGGACCTTTCTTGTTTCATGGATCACGTTGTTGGATCAGATCCCTGATCTGGAGCTTGTTGCCTTTCTTCCAAGCTTCCTTGGTGGTTTGCTGAGATTTCTCAGCGACTCAAACGAGGATGTGCACACTACGACTCAAGTTGCGCTGCAAAGGTTTCTCATTGAGATTCGAAAGATTGCGATGGTGAAGAAAGGGATTGCTGAAAGTAGGAGGAGTAGAGAAGACGCCGGTAGAGATGACAATAGCGATCTCCAACAGGACGATGGCGAAGAGACGAAAGAAGGAGAAGAGGACGAGGACATCCACGACGCCGAAAAGGTGGACGGAGTGGACGGCGAAACGGCTGGCCCTCGTCAAACATCAAACGAGGACAACCCTTATGATGATAATTCCGACACCGCAGGCGATGACGAAGAAGATAGCGAAGACTTCGACGATGAATGGATACCTGGACAGGATGTCAACATCGAGTACGAAAAGATTTTGGAAATCTTGGTCGATTTCCTCTCGAGTTCCCGAGAAGTGAAAGTCCAGGTCGTAGCACTACGATGGATTGAAGCTTTCCTCGAGATATGTCCCGAAGACATCCTTTCTTTCACGCCAAGATTATTGGAACAGCTTCTCCCGGCCCTCTCACATCACGAGGAGAACGTCAGCACCGCCGCCACGAGTGTCAACCAACAGCTGTTGAGCTATGTGATGTCTCTTCCAGAGGATCCAGCACGAGGCAATGGAGGTTCGACAGAAGGCTCGCTAGCAATGTTAAATCTTGCGCCAAACCAAGTTCAGAGTAGCATTCCCACTTTCCGAACAGGTCGAGAGTCACTAGGTGGCGACAAGAGGGAATCTTTCGGTGCGTCGCGTTCACGGAAGCCACTGGGTACAGACGCCGATGGAGCAAGGGCGTCCCAAACGGCAACCCCAGAACCGACTGTGGAAGGAAAGGTCGCTCTAGTCAATATGGTCAACGACCTCGATTATGAGGCAGCAGTCAGTGCATTGACCCTGCAATTTCTGCACGAGCATGAGGCAACCCGAGTTGCAGCCTTGGCCTGGCTCATCATGTTACATCGCAAATCACCACGCAAGATCCTTGCTATACAAGACGCCACATTCCCAGCGTTGTTGAAGACGCTGAGCGATCCTTCCGAAGCCGTCGTCACTCGGGACCTGGTCTTGCTATCACAAATCAGCAAGAGTAGTGACAACAGCTATTTCACTTCTTTCATGGTCAATCTTCTAAAGCTCTTCTGCACCGATCGTCGATTGCTTGAAACACGCGGCAATCTCATCATTCGACAACTTTGTTTATCCCTTTCTGCCGAGAGGATTTACCGAACTCTTGCTGACTGTCTCGAGAAAGACAACGAGGATGATATTGAGTTCGCGTCGATCATGGTCCAGAATCTCAACAATAACCTCATTACGGCCCCCGAACTGGCGGATTTGCGCAAGCGTCTACGTAATCTTGACAGCAAGGACGGGCAGACTTTCTTCACTGTCATCTTCAAAGCATGGTGTGTCAACGCCGTGGCCACATTCAGTCTTTGCCTCCTTGCACAGGCATATGAACAAGCATACAACCTACTTCAGATCTTCTGCGAAATGGAAATGAGCGTCGCGATGCTTATCCAAATCGACAAACTTGTCCAACTCCTCGAAAGTCCCGTTTTCACGTACCTCCGCATGCAGCTCCTGGAACCCGAGCGCTTCCCTTATCTCTACAAATGTCTTTACGGGCTACTCATGCTCCTACCTCAATCCTCAGCATTCGCTGCGCTCAAGAACCGTCTGAACAGCGTGTCTGCAATCGGCTACCTCCACGTCGGCGCCGTGGCTGCCGCTTCATCGTCCTCCTTTGCCCCCACTCGTTCCGCTCCTCCCGGTTCAACAGGTCCCTCGGTAGGTAATTTCGCCGACCGCCAGAACCGGCTCAAATCTCGCGATGATGCCGCCTCGGCTGTTCGTTGGTCGGATCTATTGGAAAAATTCCGCACCACGCAAGATCGTGTTCGCCGCTCACAACAGCGGCTCCTCCGTGCTCAACATGGCCTTGACGACGAAAACCCTTCCCTCCTACTCAGCGGTGCGGCTGAGGAACATTATTCCTCTGCTTCTGTGGACCAGCTCCGTGCTGGCGGTCGTCTACGTGATCCTCGCGCCGTCGGCGGTCACTCCAGAAATCCCAGCGCTGCATCAAATCGCGCAGGGGGAAGCGCGCAGGGTCGCCTCTCGCTGCAGGTTCCGGGACAGGGCTCACAGATGGTGTCAGTGGGTACTTCGCCCGGTGGAGTTCAAGGTGCTGGAGGTGGTCCCGCGCAACCTTCCCATCTGCTCGGCAGGGAGAAAGCAAAAGCAGGTACCGCCACCGGCACCAGTGGAACTGGTTTCGGCGGACCACTGAGTAGACTCACGGGCGGTGGCGCTGCGGCGGGAGGTGCATCGTCCGTGGGACTTGGTGGATTTGGAAAAGGGAAGAGATGAGACTTGGGAACGACGATGGCTCGTTTGACCTCATGATCAATGCCTTTGTCTTTAGAAATGTCATTTCTGGGGTTCATGGAGTAAAGACGACGATGTTCACCGCAGGGGCCATGTCGTTTTCCCTTGAAAATCACCCTTTGGAGAACAGTCTCGCACTTCATTCTTATACAGTTTAATCTCAGCGCAGCGTTTTGGCACAGCCTCTTCTTGCATATATATAATGAAAGAAACACTCTTCACCTTACGCTCGATTATGAATTTCCCTTTAAACTGTGGGCGATACTAAATGTATCACATAGGAAGTTTCACTGTCGTTACTCCCTTGCACTCCTCTACATTTTTATTGTTCTCAAAATAAGTAGTGACGCAGCCGAATTCCCCCGTTCCTACCGTCAATGCGAGAACAAGAACCGCCAATGACGCCAACCCTGTCACCACATCAGTCGCGCCTTTGAACCTTGTCCGTATATCGGTCGAAGGTTCCTCTTCTATCGGCGCGAAGAATAATCTGCCTCCATGCTCGACGGCTTGATAGAGTATGCCTTGGATGGGAGATGGCAACCCGCGATTACCTTGGTCGGCTTCGGCTCCTGTGGAGTTCTCGCGGTCTTCTCCGCGCTCATCACTTGGGTTTTCTGAAGGTAGCAGCTCGATCTTGATTGCGTGGAGGTTCAGAAATGCGTCTTGTTTGGGATCGGAAGTGGGGAGTAATAATCTCAGGCGTTGTATCTTTTCGACAGGAATGAGGTACTGATGGTTGTTCTTTTGCCATATTCGGTATTTTACTCCCGGAGTTGGGCGGATACTATCCTGAGGCTCTGACATTCGCGTGATTTGCTGATGCGCTGGATTGTCGCATTGATCGTGTCGTATTTAGGTAATCTTAAGAACACTCCATCATCGGAGCTGTGTGCATTGATCTTCAAATAAGTTTACTAATTCAAGCATCATAGGATTTCGTGGGTTACGAGGTGGAATTAATAATATGCGTCTTTTCTGAGCAAGACGTTGATGTCAAGATCTTGGCCCCCAAATTTGTGTCACCAACCTTGGAATGTATCCCTCTCAGGAACTACGTACTTATACACTACTTAGCGGGTTTTCCTTCCAGACAGCAAATATACTGATTATGACTTATTTATGTGACAAGAATGCTGGCTGACGAAGCTCAAAAGCCGGTCTCCTCTGCCGTTGACAGAACTTTCCTCATCAACGAGCTTATCATTCTCTTCTTGGCTGAACTCGACACGTTCGACCTCATCAACTGTCAGCAAGTCTGTCGAAGATGGAGAGACATCATCGTTCAGTGCCAGGAACTTCAAGAATATATGTTTTTCGCTCCAACAACGCGAGTTAGACAAAAGACCGAGCCAGTGATTCTGAACCCGGTTTTTGAGAAGCACTTCGCTCAACTCTTGTCTTTCCCACACGAAATGTACCACAATAACCCTGAAAAGATGGCCCTGCAGGCAGAAAGATGTACTTATGCACAATTCGAATGGCTTCCGTGGGCTGAAGACGGGAACTTCGTTGATACCAGCGCACGACAGGCGTATGCTCGAGCCGGGGCATCGTGGCGAAAAATGCTTCTGTCACAACCTCCCATCGCACACTTGGATTGGTGGCATAATTGGGTCTCACACGCCGGAGAGGGCTTTGGCCATCGTGATTATCCTGAAGTGGTCAGACTCGGCATGCTATGGGACGGGCTCGAGGCTTTCCTGTCACGCGGTTGCAGTGTCCGGATTCTGCTTTACCCGACTGGGATGGCCATTCTCGAGGATCCTTGTACGACTCGGGCGGAAAAACGCTGGCCGTACCACTCGGAGTCCCAAGATCAGATTCCTCAACCAGACATGCATAGGATCAAGATCAAAAATTATCTGAATTGGGACGGCAATAGTCCTGCGATATGGAACGAATTCAGTGCGCGAAGACAGGAGTGGGGTAATTTAACACCTGATATCCCATTCAGTCCCGAGGAACAAGAAAGGGAGAAGTGGAGAGACAATGATGGCGATGGTTATTGGTGGCGTTTGGATGCTTGTCAACGTGATCAAAACGGGGACGCCTCGAGCTGGAGGTGGTCAAAGAGTGATGCGTTTCAATGGATTGAAATGCGCCACGTTCACTGCGGGAGCGACATGATGCCGAATGACTTCTAGCGATTTTGAAAAACGCTTGGCCAGAGGGCGTAAGGCCTGTCAATGATTACTACAGAAACACAGCGCATTCCTTTCACGTGATTTGTGTATCGAGCGTTGCTGGCGGCCGCTTATGTGTAGATTGAAGTCGGAACTAGCATATTACAGCCTCTCCATCTTTTGTTGACTCTCAGATAGACCAGTAAGACGTCAGGGCGCAAGGATGTCGATCCCACGATACACAGAATTTGGTCTGTTGCGTGTAGAGCAAGCCTCGGGCGTAGTTCCCTGAAACGAAAAGACTCTAACGAAGATCGCTCATTATGTGGTTTTGCTTTCCCTTCAACTATCCAATTGCGAGCCAGTAATATATCGAGAAGGCGAAGGTTCACACTTAAACAGATTCAACCACAAACAAATATATGTCACAGATTGAGTTCCGTGACAGACCGTCTCTGCTGTCAAAAAAAAACTCATTTTCCCACACGCGAAGTATATATCTACGCGAAACACGGTCCTGACTACACGAAAGGTGTCCGCATACCATTTTGAGTGGCGACGCAGAGTTCAGAAGCAGGATATGCACAGATTGACGCTCAAGGTATGATAGCGGAAGTTCCCAAACATCAATATCTCATTGCACGTAGGCTGACAAAGATGGTGTTCTAATTGCTTGCTACGAACAGAGATATTGCAATTGCAAACGCTCGAAGTTCCAGGAGACGTTCTTCCATGTCGAAGCTCTTATCGGGCCAGAGTCTTAGTACGATTGTGGTACAGGCTCGCTCTTCATCCCTCGCATGCCGGCCTCACTGTAAGGCAGCGGCTGCGATAATGCTTCTCCGGCGCTACTTCAAGGTCCAAGCGACCAAGTGCTGCCACCAGTTCCAGAACAGGTGCTGACACCACCACCTTGGTACACGCCGACCGCATGTCCGTTAGGACGGAAGAAGGTCACAGTGATGGATGGTCCGAGGCCAACGACCATTGTGCTTGTAGCGTTGTTGATATCATCGGAGTTGTCGAAGAACAGCGTGCCCCAGTAGACTCCGCCTCCTGCGCTGAAGAGACCTCCAAGCTGGGAATGTCCAGTTTGAACTCCCATAGAGCCATTCGCTTCGACAGTGACCTTCATCCAGAAAAGCGCACAAGCGACTGTGGCCTTGACATGTTCTTGCTTCTTTGCATAGCCGAACACTGCAGGGACGAGGGTCGCGGTAACCTTCTCGGCGACCCATGCGCGTCCCCCTTTGGTCGAAAGAAGCTGAGTCAAGAACTCATCTTTCTCTTCGCTGGTCTCATGCTCCTTTGCAGCTTCATGATACTTGACGAGATCGAAGGACTTGATGTCTCCTTCTGTGATCGGTACGGTTAGATGGATGCCGGACGCTTCAGTAGGGCCGCACATCGTGAGTGGTGTACGGTCAAGGGGCCTGGGTTGAGTTGGACTGAGGTTCGACACAAGGCTGTATGCCTGGAAGTTGGGAAAATTGTTGGAGAAGAAAGGTTGGTTTGGGCTCTTGTCTGTTGCGGTCAACTGTGGACATGATAGGACCTATTTATGTTATTTCATGTCGGGCGATTGAGTGAAGAATGCACCTTTCGTTCTTGCCGAAATGTGGCTTGCTTATTTGATGGGAGATTTCATCGCGATCATGCCACAAAATCACGAGAATGTATGCACATCTGGTCAAAACTCTCACCCATTGAGCAAACCGTTCCGATTAGCTAAGTCGTGACAGGCGTCTATCGATGGAGCTTTGAGATTTCTGGGGCTAGCTGGAAGGCGTACGATGTGCGACAATAGAATGCGCGGCATCAGTGTTATCAGAGCTAGGGCCTCGTTGTGCTATGGCTGGCTGAGCTTTAGCCAATTGCCGCGCCCTCTGTTGCGTGGCTAGCTGAGATCAAGCACCTAAATGTGCAGTTCAAACGGGAGTATCGTTATAAAGGTCCGTCCAGTGGTATTGAATCGCACAATAATTAACGTGATGATTACGAAAGATGCAGCGTCTGCGTAAAGAGTACCTTCAAGATGGAAGTGCTTGCGGTACCACACGCCACATGCCACGAAAGTGGCTGCATGACAGGGGAATATGCTGAAACGTACGCCTTCATTGGGAGCGCCGTGGTTTCCTTGAACCACAGGCGAGCATAAGTTCCGGAGGTGACCGAAAATGGCGCTGCCTCAAATGAGACTGGCTAATTGTCCCTTTGACTGTCTACAATATTTCGTCGTGGGCTAATGCAAAGTGATTGTTCGCTTCAAGTCACGGCGGTTTTCCCCATGAGTAGAGTGAGGTAGATCAGAATGTATACATCCTATGAGAGTTCATGCATACTAGACACATCTAAGAGACTCGATGTCTTGGTGGTTTCCCCGAACATGATGATGATCGAGACTGGCCATGCAAGGGTGAAAGTGCCCAATGGCTCGTTGGTGGGTACAGTCTGTGACCTGCAGGGCTAGCATGTGAGAATGGTGCATCCGGGACGAATCTAGATTTCGAGTGATAGACGTGCGTTTGTTTTGCTCGGTAGCGGAGTAGGATGCATGCATTCTCGTTGTCCTCTTGCGTCAAGTACGTACGCATTGGACGGTCTCCAATGGTGTGTGTCCTAGAGCGGGGTTACTATGCAGGACAAGTATCGATCACGTCGCCACGATGTAGCCAGGATCCTGGACAGCTCGGAGGTTGCTTTGGTCTTGACAAATAGATTCTATGGCCGACGTATATTGAAGCCCGAAGCATCAGTCTCGGACGAAGTGATTGAAAACACGAGAATGGCGTTTCGCTTTCCGTGTCCTCTGTCCATGTCGACAATTTACCCTTGCGCATGATGTTGACCCCAGATCGGACCGGACAAAATTAGCGCTCGGGATAGACTTTTGCCTGCGCTGCGGCGGAGCTGTCTCCGGACGTTTAACGCGTCGAAGTGGGCGACTCAAGGCGCAAAATCCGACGCTTTCCTACTTTGCGCGTCGAGCTCGTGCAAAGATATTGTCTCGCGCAACATAAGTCTAGATGCACGCCATAAGCGGTAGTGGGACGAAAATGCTCGATGGCTGGCTGAGGGACAAGTCTTGTCGAAGGGGAGCCGAGGATTTGTGGCTGGCTGACTAGCTGCAGAGAAAGATGATAGGGCTCGTGTGGCGGGCTGAACACTTTAAATACGCATAGAATCATCACGCAGTACAGACGCGAGACACTTGGTCTTGCTCCCATTCGCTCCTTCGATTTGGAATGGACTCTCCACCGAGAATCTGTCGACCCATGTAAGTAAGTTCATGTCCAATTTGATTGATTGGCGCTCTCGAACCCCAGGCTAACGCCGGACTCGGGATAACGCTAACCCTTGCATCACTGGCTCGCGCGCTGTGAAGAAGTGCAAGGACCGAGATGATCCTCCTCAATGGCCACAGTCACCATAGAAGTGCGCATGATCCTACGAATTGGAGTGCGAATGTTTCGAAGCCCTGCATCTATCTAGCTTAAGCAAAATTCATTAAAGCGAGTTCTGCGGTCGGAGTTGAGCGATTAGTGGCTTGCGAATCTGCAGGGACTCAGCTAGGGGTACAGTATAGGAAAGCTACAGTCGGTACTGTCACGAATACATGCAAACAATAAACAATTCAATTACTGAGCGCACGATTCGCCAGCGATATCACGTCGTGGCGTCGGCTAGACTGTGCTCATCAGATACAGCACGGCACTCGGTCTTTCGAAATGCCTCATTTCGTGTCGGCGTTACTCGGACGAAACCCACTATGACACTGTTTTGCTCCCGTTGGCGAGGGTTTTTCATACGAGAGTCGAACCGACCAGGGATCTGCAGTAGCGGCCAGAAATCTACATGTGCAATCCATGCAACTGGGATCAAGAAACTTTGTTTATCAGCTTCAAATCGCCCCGAAGATACGATGAATTAAATAGACTGCAACTGTTGGCTACAGCGAATTTTTTTCGTGGTCTCTGTATTAATCCCTAGGTCCCATTGATGCGTTTTGACTTTCTGTGGTAAGCCGGTTCACTGAGGACCCAGTGGGTCTCTTGAGTTCAGATGATATCCCCAACAGAGTCGAGTGTGTCTGTTGTCACTCGCGACGATCTCATTCTCATCGATTCATTCAAAGAAGCATCCAGTCTAGCACCATACCTTCCGTGAAAAGCCACCAGCGATATCTGAAGACTTTTCTTGTCCAATGCAGCTACTTCGACAGCCCGTATCGTCATGATCGTAGACGAATTTTATCATTGCCATTCAGTTCCCATTTGCATGCTTCAGGTCCAAAGCATAGCCCAAGCAAGTCGCACATCAGACAGATGCCGCGGAATCTCACTGCCACTTTCATAGATGGGCGACTAGCCTGTGAGTGCCGTTTCCGAACGCGTTTCTTATCTCCATATGATCATTTCACCCTCTCTTTGATGACGGTTGGTAGTATGGGATCGTCACGACATAGGGGAGAGGTATAAAATCTCGGGCAGCACAAGTCGAACACCAAGCCTGTCCAGCTTCTCTTTGGCTTCGAGCATACGTGTAAATGCGTTCCCCGGTTTTCTCGGCTCCATCTCGTCCAAGTCCGATCCATAATTGTCCGTATCCTTTTCATACAAGAGCTGAATCCTTTCCAGGGCGATGAGCTGACCAGCGCTCCGACGCTGTTTCACAGTCTCTGCCAATTCAACCAGCCACTTGGAATCCTCTGGACTGAAAGAATGGCATTTTCCACATTGGCTGTCCTCCCATCCACAGTCAAACACCAATGTTGTGAGAGCCGGTGTGAGCCAAAGCTCCGCTGCTCTAGAGAGCGTGAGCGTGCGATGGGACCAGTACGTTTGGAAGATCTGGAGGGACGGAAATTCCTGCAGGCTGAAGGCATCGAGGCCGACCTGTGGGCCCATCTGTCCCACGCGGAGTTCCTTCAGATGCTCTGCATGTAGAAGGAGCGCGTCGTGGAGCAGAGTCCATGTCCACTTGTAGGAGATCATCCCCATCTCGACGAGAGAATCAAGATCGTAACCGCCGCACACAAGGGAGTCCATAGTAAATCGTTGCAGCCGGCGTGGCCAGTGAAGGAAGGTTTTGAATGAAGTCGGGCTCATCAAGGAGCATCGCTCTAAATGGAGCTCTCGAATATCTAGAGTGAACTCACGGCCCTAGCATTGCTCGCATCAGTTCTTTGCACTCGAACTCGAGCCAAAGGGTACTCTTACCGTCGGAGGAAGTGTGGCGATTTCATCATCGAGTCTTTGCTGGATAGTCTCTGCGTGGTCCAAGATTGGCCAGTTGCTCAGCTCCTGGCGGGGAGGCTGAGAACACGCCATTCCCGACAGAGCAAGCTTCGACAGATGAGGGAGTTGCGCCAGCAGCGGGACCACGCGGGAGAATCTTGCGTGTTCATCATCCAAATCGCGAAGGGACAAGGCGGTCAAGCCCGATAGCCAAGGGAGCGCCCCGACGAGTAAGTCCCATTCTTCGGGCATATCATGCCGATGGCCGCCCCACTTGTCGACTGTTAGATCTCTGAGAGTCCCAAACCGGGATAGAACTTCAGGTCCGAATTCGATCATCCGAGCAAAAACGTCCCCGCCTATACGGAGACGACGCAGTAGTCCAACCATGTCTGGCCTTGCAGAGACAGTCCACCAAAACAGCTCCACGTGTCGAATGTTTTTATGCTGACATGGCCATGAGTGCCTCTCAGAAAATTTGATGTCGCTGTAGAGGATGGGGCGAGCTATGGGGGCGAATCGCCTGCATACACGGTTGAGCTTGCGCGGCATCTGTGTCTTGAGGTAAAGTTTACACCGCGGACAAGGGTTCTCGCGCTCGTCGTCGATTTCGGCTTGGGTGGCAAGTTGGAAGCACATTCGAAGAAGTTCTTCAGGAAGTTTCATGATGTAGCTCTGCCCAAGTGGTATGGCATCTTTTACCGTGGAAGGTGAAGAAGGTGGTGCAGCATCAGGGTCAGGGCATGGTACAGGTTGGGGTGGTTTTGGTTTGGCATATGTTTGCAGTGAGCCATCCTGCGCTTGTCTAAGGCAGAGTTGTACCAATCTTGTCATCGAGACGCCTCTACACCGGAGTTCAGATTGAATCGCCCTGCTCTCCGGCGCTAGCAACTTCGAGTGAGCCGGATCGATCAGCCTGAAGCTTCTATGGCTGTTCTGGTGAGCGTGTTGATAGTTCAATCAGAGGATTTCAACTCTGTGAGCGGGGAATAGTTTCTACTTGAAAGTCTGGGGAATGTGTACTAGATGATAAAAGGAGCAATGTAGAGAAGATTCATCTACGACCTTTTTTTGTCGGTGGATGATGACTAGGTCGTGATGAATCACAATTACGGCACAGGCAGTACATGGTCCGTGAGAGGGACTCATATTCGCGCGCGTCTAACTTAGTTTCTTAATCACCGAATCAGTACCAGCACGGCAGCATATCCGTTGAGGAAGTCAAATCGTTCGACGAAATGTTGTACATTATTGAATAAAAATGGATCGACATTCGACAGCACTAATTTATGCAATGGGATAGTCTTCATGTTGATATCACAGAGTGAAGTCGACACTCCCAAGCGGATCGGCCCGGAGACGACTGGCGGCCAATGCAACTCAAGCAGGGACCCCTTTTCTCCACACCACGCCAGCGAGCCCGTTACAGACAAGGACGCCCAGAAGTCCGAGAGACAAACTATCTACACTTTTTATCATTTCAACGAGATAAAGATTGACATCAAAGCCCTCATCAGTCATCAGCGCCCTTGCGCACCAGCAAACCGACCTTTCACGGGCCCGTCACTCAGACGCTCAAAACAAACCCCCCATCCATCCCGACGAGCACCACCGCGCCGACCACACCCTCCAACCGGCAACGATGGCCGTCGGCGGACCGCCCAACATCATGGGCCGCTTCTTCCTGCTGATCCTGGCGATCGCGATCACGGGAATGTTCTTCTACCACGAGTCGCAGGACACGACGGTGACGCAGGAGGAGGCGCTGAACTTCCAGAACTTCCTGGCCAAGCAGCCGGTCGAGGAGCCGACCGAGACGCCGAAGCCGACGCGCGTGCCCGGCTACGGCCGCCCGATGTTCCACGCCGAGACGGACGAGGAGGACAAGGCCAAGGAGAAGGCGAAGCCGCCGCCGCGGAAACTGAGCTTCGAGGCCGTCAACGGCGAGGAGGATAAGTGGTGAGTGTGATTTTCTGATGATAGCGGCGGAGGTGGAGGTAGGGAGGGAGCAGGGGAAGAGGGGAGAAAGAAGTCGTCGAGGGGGCGATGGGGTTGTTTTTTGTTTTCTCGTGGATTCTATGGGCTTTTTGGGGGTGGGACGGCGGGATCGTACAAGAGAGCTGAGACGCTGATGGCTTTTTCTGTTCGGAAATCCTCATGCAGGGCCTGACCGAGTCGAACTTGACACACCGAAGACTTCCACGGAAACCTCCTCGATGATGGCGGAGGTTGCACGAGCGGAGCGAAGGTCGGAGGCGGAGGAAGGGACATTCCGTACCGAGCCCAAGACTATATTTCTGGCGAGACGATTTTTTCTGAACTTTTTTTTGGCTGGAAAGGAGAACTTTCTTCCTCTCCTTATCCAACGATGCGCGCGCGGGCGGGCGAATAAGCAATTTCTGAGAGGAAATCCCCGGAATCCTACACACATTGTACCTCCTCCTACGGGAAACATGAGACGGAAAGAAACAAAGAAAGAGAGAGAGAGAGAGAGAGAGAGAGAGAGAGGGATCCCTACGATCAATGACGGTGATGTTCCCTCATTCGACGCATCTGCTTTGCTTTGATTTTGATTTTGATGTTGATTTTGATTTTGATGTTGATTTTGATTTCGATGTGATTTTCATTCCATACGCTTCCGCTGCCCCATCGCACGAAAATTCCACAAGAGGGTCCGGGTCGAAGCAGGAAAGTCGAGTCTCAAGTCCGAAGAGCGAAGAGCGAAGAGAGAAGAGTGAAGGCATGTGGCTACGTTCCCAATTGGAATGGAAAGCGGGAGGGGGAGGAATTCGTCAACAGGATTGGATTGCGCGAGAAGTATGGGGAGGGAAATACTACCATCGTTCTGGGCCTACGCGAGGGAAAAGGCGATCGGTGGAAAAAGACTCCCGTCGCACGCTGCACGATCGTCTCTCGTCCTTGCTGCCGGACTTCTGCGTTCGAATGGATATTTCCGCTTTTTCTTGTGTTTCCTTCTTCTCCTCGTTCCTTCCGCATCCGCATCCGCGAGATCCCTGGTCTAGTTTTCTTTCCATCTTCGGTTTCCTTCGAGGCTTCTGTACGATATAAAATGGATAAAAGGGAAATTGAGTGGGGGTTTTCCTGGTCTTCCATTTTCAAAAAATCCGTGGTGCACGTTCGAGTGGGCGGCTCCGCTATAGAATATGAAAACACCAAAATTTCGAGTGCGCGCATCATCATCCATCATCCCATCCACTCATCCATCACATTTTCCCCACAGACCACACACCAGGTATCCTCACCCGCTCTCGGCCGTCGCCATCAGGCTCCCGATGAAGGTGACGATCAACCTCGTGCGCAGGCTCGTGATGTCCTCGGGGACCAACCAGATGGTGGCGCCCATCTTGCGGGCGATGGAGATGGCCAGCTTGGCGTTGGCGTGGCGTTCGTCGTCGGTGCGGCCGGGGGCGACGAGGTCGTAGTCGACGTAGCTGCTCTTCATGCCGTTGAGGACGTCGAGCAGGAACACGCCCGAGGCGATGTTGCTGTCCTTGAAGCTGCGGATCGAGGTGCCGCGGCCGCCCTTGGCCGCGGTCGAGTTCGCCCAGGAGACCATGTCCGGGTCGGAGATTTCGCGCTTGCCCAGGCGCTGCGCGAGGCTGGCCAGGGTGCGGGTGATGTCGCGGCGCATGAGCTGCCAGACGAGACCGAGGGTGAGGGTGCGTTGGCCGTCGGTGATGTCGGCGCCCTGGAGGCCGACGAGGCTGAAGCGGTTCTGCTTGCCGATCTCGACGGCGTAGTTGGTGTTCTCGACCGCTTTGAAGCGGGACATGCCGGATTTGATGGTGAGGTAGGTTTCGTCCGGGTCTTGGCTCACCGGGGTGACGGCGTTGGCGGGTGGTTTGTTGACGTGCCGCCAGTTGATGCTGTTCGGGATGACTTTGTCGTAGGCTTGGAGGAGGACGATGCCGTCTTTAAGGTCGTCGAAGAAGGAGGATACGGCGGGTTGGACGTTGAGCGAGTTTAGCCAGAGGGTAAAGACACGCGCTTCACGCTCACCTTCGGCGTCGAAGTCTTCGATCTCTGCCTTTTCTTCTTCGGTGATAGGGTCCAAGCCAGGGTGGTTGTTGAACAGGTTGGCCACGAAAGCCAAGTTCAGTTTCGGGTTACCAGCAGTGAGAGATTTGGGCGTCAAGAATTTCCGGCAAGGAGGATCGAGGCGGTCGGAGTTTTGCAAAACTTGTTCGGCGCGTTGCAGCAAATCCTGGGTTTGCAGAGGCGATCTCGAGCAGATGTTCGGTGCCAGTTGGTTTAGCAGGACCGTGTAGTTCTCACCATCTTTGACATCACCTGAGAAGTTCTGGACCTTCCGGTGCCAGCCAGCGTTCTTCAGGTGGTAGTTGAACCATCGCAGAAGAATTTGCTCCGGAGGTAGTCGCAGGAATTGCTCAAGGGTCTCGCCGTCTTCCAATAGTCGGTACAATTCGGGATGGAGCTTGATGTCAATCTTGCCCAAGAGACCACGGCGGATCACCTGCCAGATGAGACCCAGAATCAAGTGCTCGCGGACCTCGATGATATCACCGCTTCCAATGTTGACCACCGAACAGCCGATACCCTTTGCAGACTCGATAACAATGTTGTTGTTTTCCGTCATATGGAATGCATTCAACTTTTTAATCTTTTTGCCCTCCCGGTTGAGGACTCGCTCGTCGATGGTATCCGGCACGCTGTCGTTGATGAGCTTGGCGAGGACGAGACCGTCACGACACGAGTCGAACATTTCGAAGGTGTCGAGTGGGAATGGTAGGAGGTGGCCGATATCCGCATCGCCCGCGAGGACTGCATTGATGTGTGATGTAAAGGCGGTTCGCTCGTCTTCGTTGATGGTGTGCTGGGAGCTCGCGGTTGAACCTCCCACGGTGATACGGCCCGCCTGACAAATATGTCAATACTGTGTTCATTCTTTTTCTTTTGTATCGTCACCTCTTCATGCGACATTGCACGAGACTCACCTTTGCTGCTGGGGCGCCGCCGATGCTTCCCTTGCTGGCGTGCGAAGGAGCTGGAGTCGGCGCAGAGGCGAGGTCGGGCTTGACGGCGTTGCTGAAACCACGGGTGCGCTGTTGTGCCGGGCTGCTCTCACGAAGCCGCGCGATGAGGTCGACATAGTCGTCCAATTCAACACGTCGCGAACTGTCCAGCTCGACCTCTTTCAGGGCCTGTCGGACGACGTCGTAAGGTTGTCGCTCGCTGTTCTGGGCAGCCTTGATCGCGGTCGCTTCGTCGACGTAGCCCTTGTCGTCGACGTCGAGCTTTCGGAAGGCATCTGAGAGGCCATAGATGTCGGATTGCGGGAATTGAGGGTATTTCCTGGGTGGAGGAGAAGCTGATGATTAGCGAGATTTGCATGATGAGGTAATGCGATTTCTTTGCCGGCATACTTTTGTAATTTGAGGACATTCATGGCTGCGGTGCTGATGGAGTATTCACTCCGGCGTCCACGGAGTGTGTAGAATGTGGTTGTATATGTGCAAGGAAAGGTGGGTCGTTGAGCGGACCAGCTCGCTCAGGTTGTGGGCTGTGCAGCCGAGGGAATGGCGATGCGCCTCGAGTGCGTGTTTCAATGTTTTGCGAAGGATGACAGGCAACCGCCAAGCAGCAAACAAGATGAGAGGCGACAGCGACGTCGAGATTGGTGTGGTATTGTATTGTAATTGTAATTGTCGTCGTCGTCGTCGTCAGCCTCTCGCTTCAATCGTGCTAGGAAAGACTGGTTCTAGGCGACCGAATTGAATGGGTGGTTGTCTGATGTTGTCATTGTTTCTTGTCCCCACGCCCAATTCTCATCACCATCCAAATTGCCCCGCGCTGCGCCACGCAATGCCCGCCCTCCCTCCTCCGCCTGGGTTGTTCCTGTCGGCCTGGATTGTTCCTGTCCGCCTCTCTGGGCTCTTTACTTGCATTCCAACATTGGAAGGTTCGGAGCATTTTCCCCAACTTTCTCCCACCCGAAAAAACGTGGCTTTTTCGCCTGGAGAGAATTCATTCCCGAGTGGCTGCGCCTCAGCGATGATGTCATCCTCTCTGAGCGATTCGCAGAACGGGGCGACGAGGTCTGCAGCGAAAAAAACACTTTGGAGAGCCGCGTCAAGACGGTTGTCGATGAGGAGCCTTTGATAAAAGAGAGTCGTTCGTCGATAAATGCTGGATGCTTGAGAGCACTGGATTCTCGATGTATTCATTTTCATCTTCATTTTGCCGCCCACGACACTCAGTCCGCCTCGGAGCATGTTGTGAAAGGGGATCGCCTACGCGAAATCATCCCTCTCGGCTTTCTGACACGTGTTGGACGCTGAGAAGAAAGCACGACAAGATCACGAAATGAGATGTAGAAGGGACATGAATGATGACGATCGAGTGTGATGCTGCTGTCGGCGCCGAGTCGATGTAGACCTCTAGGATAGCCTTTTCCTCCGTCGTCGGATTCACGTGGGACCATCCTCGACTTCATCCACGTGTCTCACCCGCCAAACGTACATCCACATAGAAACGTATGTCCGAATCACCTGGGCACTGTTCTTTGTACTGGTAGTGCCGAGCATTGGAGTCTAGGCAGACCGGAATAGCAACAAAGGCCCCCCTCACGCACGCAGCACACCTGATGACCCGATGCCGATGTCCTCCCACTATTTTGCCATCTTCGATAAAGCGGGCGGACGTCAGTTGTGATGAACGCCCGGGAGGTTCATGGGCCAAGTCGCGCGTGAACACCGGGATCCAGGGGAAGCAGCTGGATGCGCTGGAAGGAAATCTCCGCCCTCGGAACCAGAGTCCCCCATATACCGTAATTGTTGGTCGACATGTGATGTGGCATCCCGGGAGGAAGAGGCGATATGCATTATTTCCCCTGACGATCAGGGGGAAGTCTAAATGACTCCCTGATAGATCCCAGCGAGGGAACATTGGATGGTAAAAAAAACCTCCCGAGGACACACACACTCGGCGATGACGGGGTCGAAGGGATATCCCTTGTTCATATTCGGTGTGCAGTGACTTTGCACACCCGTATCGATTACATTTCCGAACCATCTGGACCGACTTCCACGCATGAGTGGAGATGAAGTGTTGCGATCACGTATGTACTCAATACCAGCACAATCCCAATGTCCAATAGTCGTCATCATCACCCCAGCCTCGTTACTCCCCTTCAGATACACCTGCGTAGGATTTCCCGGGAAAATAGAAAACTCGCCAAGCCAGATGCCAATGGTCCGAGTTGGAAATCTCGGAACCTCCTCACCGAATTCCGAAATCCGCCATATTCGAATCGTATAACGAAGCGGCGGCGGTGGGGAGGAGAACAGCTCTTCCCATGGCGAGGTGGACGACGGCGGAGGCGGCGGAGGAGGTGGCTGGTCTTGGCCGGGTATTTATATATGCTATATCCTAGGGAACAGAGGATTGATGCTTGGCGGGGTCTTGTCGTTCCTTGTGATGGGCTCTGTTGTCGTTGCCGGCCCTCTATATTTATTATCGTCGTCGTTGGGTTGGGAGATGTGTGGTGATGCTGACTCATCCGTCATCTCTCCACATCTCCCATCATTATCATCATCAATCATCATCATCATCATCACCATCACCATCGTCTTCACCATCATCATGACCCAAAGTGGAGTTCCATGATCATTATCCCCGGCCTCCCATACTCTGAGAAGAACAACGGGATGCTTGGCTTTTTCCCCACCTACCACCTTTCGCCTTCTCTCTCTCTCTCTCACACACACACACACATACACACAACACACATCAGCCGTCCGTGGTACAACAGTGTACTACATACTACAAACAGTACAACACAATATGTCCCTCTTCTGGTCCTCCAAGGCTCGCCTCGTGGAGTCTCTTATTACTGTTAGCCTTTCCCTGGGTGCATTTCCTCCTCTTTCTGGTGGTGGTGGTGGTGCTCCTCATCTCTCAGAGACCTACCCAGGTCTCCACCGTTTCCGGCGACGGGCGGCGGCGGCTATGTCGTGTGAGACTCGCACACTCACACATAAAGTATACACACAGATCATACAGATCATACAGCTGGCCCAGGTGTTCGTCTTCATGATGAATGTCGTCGGGAATTAGAATGGTCCCTTGACATGGTCCGTCGGGCTGGAGAATGGGACCAGTTCCGGGTGGTAACGATTGGAGTGTGTGTGAGAGAGGGTGTGTGTGTGAGTGTGTGTGTGTGAATATATTCCTCCCTCGGATCTGGGAAATAGAAGGAAGCGAGAAAAGGCAGAGGGTGAAATGCCGATGAGCCCAGTCTACCAAGGTTTGCTGTTGCCATGTCACCGTCTCTTGGGTCCTCATATTAGGTGTCCTCATACAATCCTTGACAACTTCCCTGGCTTTTCATGGCTGTACGACATTGGCACTGTTTTCTTTCCGGCTGGGCGGCTCTCTCGTGATGCCGCCCATTCCCTCTCTCTCGTCGCCTTGGCCGGGTATCGTTCGGATACGGGAAGGAGAGGGATGGTCAAGTGACATATAAGTACTGTTGCTGCCTTCGCCTCTCAGACTGATCGATTCGAATCTTCACTCGCCATCATCACCATCGACATCATCGACACTCACATTCGCTTCACCAAACCACCGAGCCTCGCATCTCTTCCATCCTCGACCACTGCCCTTTCGACCGGACGTTCCACCTCGTCGACAGACCCTCCCTCCAATTCCACCAAACACCCGCGACCCATCATCGAAAAGATGCATCTCTCCACCCTCCTCCTCAGCGCCACCATCTTCACCACCGCGCTCGCCGCGCCCTGGGGCCCGCACAACTGGTTCGGGCGGACGTCCGGCGGCGGCAAGGCGCCGTTCGCGCGGTGCCTGACGCAGACGAACGCGCAGGCCGGCGCCGAGATCTTCCGGCAGCTGATCCAGAACTACACCAACACGCTGGCGCTCGAGGCGCTGACCGACGACTTCGTCGACTACTCCAGCGCGGTGAATCTGATCCGCAACCGCGGCAACGAGGGCCCCATCAAGGTCAACGGCGTCTCGTTCGACGGCCGCCCGCAGTTCATGGCCGCGCAGGGCTCCCAGCCGCAGATCCCCTTCGACACCCTCAACGTCTTCTGGGGCTGCGACCACGTCGCGATGCGGTGGCAGACCCTGCGCAGCGCGAACGGGCAGAAGACGGAGAGGAGCCGGATCGTAAGTTCCTTTTCCCTTTCCTTTTTTTCTTCTCCTTTGCCTTTCCTCTCCCTCCCCTTTACTGACCTCCCATCTCGCAGCCCGTCGTCGGCAACGCCATCCTCCACACCGTCCCGGACAATTCCAACTCCTACGGCTTCCGCATCAAGACCCTCTACTCCGAATTCAACGCCGGCGCCTGGATGTTGAACCTGGGCACCGTCGTCACCACCATGCCGAACAACACCACGCTGCCGGCCAGGGAGGCGATGGAGATGGGTGTCGGCATGATCTAGACGCGGCTGAGGGTTTGAGTGAGAGATTGTGAGGCGTGTTGATGTGTTTCGACGGGTGAGTGGACTGTTGTTGACGATGGGTGTTTCTGACCGACGATGTTGTTGAAAATCAGCGAATTGTTCAGAGAGCGAAAAGGGGAGGTTTTGGGGGTGATCTGATGTTTAATGATTATGATGTGGTCTTCTCGGTGTTGTTCCTTGTTGTTCCTTGTTGTTGCTTGTTGTTCTTGTTGCTTCTTGTCTCTGCTCAGCTTCCCTCCATTATGAAAATCGGCTTTGATGGGTTTCTCTGCAAATTTTCTCACTGGATTTTGGTTCATTCGTTCTTTTCTCTTTTTTTCTCTCTCTTTCCGACACGTCAGCCGAAATTCGTTTATTCATTCATAAACACATTCTATCTGATGAGTATTCGCAAAGAACAAGGAGGAAGGAAAGAACCCGAGGGAAAGGGCAAGAGAATAACAGGCTTCACTTCTTCCCGCCCTCTCATCGAGAAAAGCAAACCCTCTCTACCTTCGACCCCTTCCACGATCCTCACATATTTCCCTTTTCGTCATCTTGCGCTTCGTCAACGGGCCCTCGCTTATCATAATCAGCATCATCATCGTCGTCGTCGTCGTCGTCATTGTCGTCGTCATCGTCATGATCATCATCTTTCCATTTCGCAACTCAAGGACGAGGTTCAGGCCGTGTAGTATTCCCGCCCATGTCGCGGATCAGCCACTCCGGCATCTCCACGACATAATCCCGCCACTTGAGCAGGTAGTCCACGAGCATCATCGCCGCGCGATCCGGGGATACTCCGTCGATCAACTGAGTTTTAGGCACGCTTTTTGTACCTGTGCCCAATGATCCTAGTCGTTACGGCTAGCGATGCTGAGGTATCGAATCTGCAAGGGCATCAAGGAATTGATCCATCGTGTACAACCCAGCGATTGAGCCGCTCATCGTCTGGCGTGAGTACCTAGCGAGTTTTTCTGTGAATTCCCACTGCACCGCGCACGGTTGACGTGTGAGATACATGCGCTTCCACGAGCCAGCATTGAATCGACTCGGCGGCCCCCAGTGTAGCAACATCCTTCCTTCTAACTTGACACTGAGAACTGGAAGGTCCTGCAATTTCTCGTCCGTGATTTCCACGGATTTTATTGTTAACTGCTTGCGGCCTTCTCGATCGCAATAGCGCAAGCGATCGAGCGTAGCATCGAACCATAGCCCGATGGACGTGTAGAATCGCTCATTTTTCATTATGGGATTCAACATGATGGAGCTGGACGCAGGAGTGTTCGTCCCTACTATGAAGAACAGCAGAGTCTGGATCGGAACTGATCCAAGAATGACCGATTGGAAAGTCTTGCTTACGCGAATGTAGCGCAATATGTCTTTATAAGGCAGCTGAAGCAAGATCATCTCCAGGAGCTCCGTCGTGTCTGCTAGCTGTCGACCTGCACGTCGTATCGGCGATTTAAGGCCGCGATGCTTTGGAACTACCGACACACGTTTCAGTTCCTTAAGCTCCCTTATAATTAATACCTGGTTATCCTGTAGATTGCAGATCTGATGAGAGAGTTCCTTTTGATTGAGCTGTAGATCTTTCAGCACGTCTAGCACGTCCTTGTCCAGACAGTGCGCAGAGATGGACGAGTAGATGGAGTCAGCCGTGTCTGGGGTCGTCGAAGAAGATTCCACGTCCGCCATTGGTTCGGAACGGATGCAGGATATTGGCCAAGCCGTACGGAGTATAAACTGGTGGAAAACGGTGACTGATAGCTGACGTGGTACAATCTTATGCTCTGTGTCGAAGATGTCCCTGCCCCGGAACTTAGAAACAGACGATCGCCCGCGAGAAAGCGGGGATTGGTGGATGGCGTCTGAGGACGGCACACATCACGATCCACAAGCTAACTGGGTTCACAAGACATTTTGCATATATCCTCTCAAGCTCGGCCCATCTAGTAGATTTGAGTATGTTTTGGATTTTGTAGCATCTCTCTATTCAATAATTGTGAGCTGGCTTCTCGCGACAGATCAGCGAAACATATCGTGACAAGAGCGACAGCAAACAGCGCCAGTGTACCAACGGCATTTACCACATAGCTATAGTCAAGCACATTCTTGCGGCCCGAAGCACTCTTCCATGAATCGTCGAACGACAATTGTTCCTCGGTCAAATACCCCACCCTCCTGCTTCGCTTTCAGCGCGGTCCAGCTCCTTACCTGGAGCCCGGTGAGACTGCGCACTCGAGAGAGAGCGACATATCCCATCTGACGCGCGAACGTCCCATCAAGGTTGATTATCGCCTTTTCAAGGGTCATCCCTTGTGACTTGTGGATTGTAATAGCCCATGCTGGAAGCAGTGGGATTTGCGTGCGTGCAACGACGCTGAATGGGCGTGGGTGACCTAGCTCTGTATCTTGATAGACGGGATATATGACTTGCTGCTGATTGTTTTCGAATCGAACGACAGGCAGCGAAAAGTTGGGCTCTTGTCGCGATATCCATGGCGTGAATTGATGTTCATCCCCATGGCTCATTTCGCCGGTCTGGGTTGAGTGGCGCCCCTGTGCCTCTATCCATGGGAAGCAGCGCGAGTAGCCGACGATGTGACCCTGACTACCATTCACGAGTCCCAGCGCGGGCGCGATGTTCGCAAGCAGAATCACAGGCATCCCAAACTTGGTTTCCAGCAGCGGCGGAAAGCGATGATCCTGGCAACCCATCCGATTGCCTTCTCCGTCGAGCTCAGCTTTAGCTAAAAGCTCGGGATGGTGTGGCTCTATCTTAACAAAGTCGTGACATCGATACGCTCGAATTGCCCCTACAATCCCCTGAAGGCCTTCCGTGTTCTTCCGATCAACATCGCGTCTAAGGGGGGAGAGCTCTATAGCGGAGCTGAAATCACACCCTCCCTGGGTGAGCAAAGCAAGTTGGTCGGCGCCGAGAGTCTCACCGATGCGGAGGGTGTTCAGAAGCCGGATGAAAGCTGGCTCGCTCTGTCGATGAATTCGTGATAGAGAAAAGCTGCGGAATTGGCAAGCTGTCCATGTGTCGCTGCAGAACGCCCACTGATCGTCCATATCGAATGTCTCCCCACACTCCATACATCCCAATGCTCGAAAGAGCGCCGTTCCACATCGTTGACAGTGAACGGAATGCGAAGCTTCAGGAGCTCCATAAAGCTCATGGCCACCAGAAGGTTCACAGGTCCAGCAAATTTTTCGCACTTTCAGATCGCAACCGCATGAGTAACAAAATTGAAACGGCTTGACTGGGGGGAGCTGGTAGAAATCGCCCGTGACGACGACTTGAATTCCACCGAATGGTAGCCCAGACATTCGCGCTGCTTGGCAGGCGCGGTCTAGGCGACGAAACTGATTCGACTCGAGCATGCTGATTTCGTCAATGATAAGTACATCTGTTTTTTTCACGCGCTCGCGACGTGCTTTGGACATTGCCATCGTTTGTATTTCACTTAGACTCTTCTTCATGTCACCAGGGCGCCAACCTGCAAACATGAAATATGTGATACCCTGAACATTGAGCGCAGATATTCCCGTCGGCGTGACGACCGCGACATGTTTTTGCCCTTCGCGTAACGCTTCGACAGTGGCACGCAGGACTGTTGATTTCCCTGTCCCTGCGCCACCGGTAAAGAATACATTATGTCCCTCCCCGATGATCTTGACAAGTCGCGCCTGCTCCTCGCACAGAAGCCGGAGAGGATCTGCTCCATTATCTTGAAGGTTAGAGGATGGCACACACGAAGTCAATTTGCTTGCGCATTGCTGCTCTGGGATGACATTGAGGGTCGATGGGTTCGTCAGGGAGGTTTCCAAATGTGCGTGCGGGAGCTCCGCGTTGTGCTCGCGCCGTCTTTTGGCCCTCTTCCGGCGTCGTCGTCGTTTCCGCCGCGAGTCCGCTTTGTGGTTAGCATCCGTACCAAGAGGCTTACTAGTGCCGTCTTGTTCCTCCTCTGGAGCACTACTCGCGCCCATACTTGTGTTCGTCAATGCGGACAAGTGCTTGTCGGTACGTTCAAAGCCATTCCTGGGCGCGTACGTGTATCCCATCCTATTGCGTCTTTAGGGTTGTTGTGGGGTTATCGATTTTCACATCTCGAGCTTTCCGAATTCCTCCTCGTCAATTGCTCCCTGTTAAGTAAGACAGCGACGATCACGGTGGTATTAAGCGCGAAGTTACGTTCGAAGCTGGAGGTTATGTCCTCAACGTAATCATCACCTATTCTGCCGCATTACCATGAGGTGCATAATGGTTTTTGAAATTAATAGAGCTTGCCACGGAAACGCCCAACCACGATGTGTTGGTGCAGACGCGCTGTGTGTGCAAATATAAGATCGGGGATCATATTTGCGATGTTGTAACTTCGACAGCGGGCAATGGCGCACGAGTATAGGATGCTGAACTTCAAAGCGAAGCTACTTTCCCATCATCTTTTGCGCCTCCAGGAAATCAATGAGCTTGTCAGACCGTAAGGCATTATCTCGTCGTAAAGCAAGCCACCTGTCGCCCGAATACAGTACCTCCAACACAGCATAGCATCGATCAACTTCCAGCGGGGTCCATGTACTCGGCGAGACATGTACAGAAGACCGTTCACACATTGTGAGAATGATTATAACAGCATCGAGTTGTTGAAAAGGGCGAAAGCAGGCTTCTGCAATCCTTAACGCCGTCGCAACATGTCCGGCCGTCAAAGCGCTCGGCAATTTCCCATGATCGCGCAACATACGCACAACCAACGCCCACTTAATGCTCGGTCCTCTAAACGCAGGATAAAGGTCACAGAGACCAGAATCGAATAAATCTTTCAGTGACATGATACAAGACCGGCCTTTGTGGAACATCACTCCTTGCGACAAGTATTCTCCATTGTCGAATCCGTCTCGCCTGTGTTTAAAAAAATTCTCAAAGGTTTTTGGCCCTTCTGCCTGTTCCTGTAAGTGAGCAACTAACCATTCATCTCTCCGGAATTGGTCTTGTGAGAACTTTCTCGTGTCCACCATGCATATGAATATCCTCTCTGGGATTGATCCAAGATAACCCCATCTCCATCTAGCACATTGAATTGCACAAAGCAGAGAGCTTGTCCAGGAAATGAGGTTGGTAGGTCGACTACGGTCATAAGATAAATGCCGAGCAAGTTCTTCCGCTGGTCCGGATCCTTCCACGGATAGCAAGTCTTGTCTGTCAATAGGCCGAGTATTTTGGCTTGCGCCGGACGCGAAAATACTTTCGTTATTAATTCCTCGGCTTTTCTCGTCATACACTCGGAACAGGTATGTTGGAAATTTTGGAGGATCATGAGATGGGGAATCGGATATCGAAGATGAGCAGAAAAGCGTTGGCAGTTCAGGTAGCAGGTTCACCAGATCGTACCAAAACTCAGTCCAAAGCTCTTGTAAATTGTTTCGGAATCGTTCAGCTCGCTCTTCGGGCGTCTCTTGCAGCCTATGTATGGCTACTTCGGGATCATCCATGAAATTTTCGAGAATGTACGAAATTTCAAGCCTTCCGCAATTCAGTCTTCCCATGGGTTGCACGGCATCATCGCGGCATGCTTGAAGCGCGCTCTTCCATTCTGACTCGGCAACTTTGGGGTTATCAAGAGCGCCTCTGACTTTTCTTTCGATCTCGTCTCCAAAACTTTGCAACAATTCTTCTTGCACTGAGTCTGGCACACACAGAGCTTGGAGTTCTGCGACGATTCTGTTTGAACCAGAGCCTTGTGCTGGTTTCGGAGAACCGTTTGAGTTTTTCGTAGTCTGATCTTGCTCAACAGCAATAACCGGATCCTCGCGACGACGATGTTCGACACTCTCAATATTACTGTCAACCTTCCGGCCTTCCGGGGTATGCGTCTTGGTGGCCTGTTTCGAAGGCGAACGTGCTTGATCGATCGTGGCTCTTCTTGCTTGTTTTTGAGACGAGGTACTCGGGTCAAGATTGAGTTCTAGTAATCGGCTATCTAGCGTGTCCATCTCGCTTGCTGTGTCCATCAAACTCACAAGATTCCGAGGGCCGTCGTCGGATGGAACGGGCGCTTAAGATCTAGTAAACTGATGGCGCAATATTGAGCCGCTTTGCGGGACGCGCCGATGACGCCACTTGGGAGCGGACCAGCGAGCGGAGCTTTCATGTTTACTCTCTCGTTCGACGATGGCTGTGAGATCAGCGCCGTATGTGCACCGACATTTTGAACGACGTTGATCATCTCAGTACGTAGGTAAGATGGAAAGAATATTGTTCATCGGGACAGCTCACGAGACATATTCGCGCAGTCCGCGGTGGTTGCTAGAGCAGCGTGGTGGCGATTCCACACGGAGCTTCGGAGGCGCCCTGACCAAGACCACTATGTCACATCACTTCAAACCCTAAGGCAGCCGCAAAAGCGCGATGATCTATCAATATGCTGCGCTGGGGAAAACTAGCATCAGATCTACATTTTACATCGCATAGAACGAATCATAATCAAGTGCTTAATAAGCCCGGCCAGAAACGATGCGCGGCGCGTTCCACAGGTCCATTTGGGACATATCGTAGTCGATAAGGTACGACGAAGCTGCCATTCGGCGCCAGTGAAGGATGTACCGCGACTTTGAACATTAGGTTGTCAACAACTTAGTGCATGAAGTGTCAATCCGAACATGGCTATCCGTTCCTGCTTCACAGCGTAGAACAAGTCCAACAATTTGTTTTTGCTAGGAAACAACATATTTCGCATACTATGAAACATCGACAGACGCAGCGGCCAACTCTTCGAGCAGTCGATCTAGGACATATTCACCATTCAGGACTCCGGACAACTCCCGGTAAGAGAGACGGCGATCATAAACGGTAACATTCCATTTCACACCAACAGTTCCTTGTGAGATGTACATGGAGCGCCAAGTCCCGACGCCGAGTGGAACTTCAAGGACACGATTCTGGTCTGATGAGACCTTGGGATTGTTTGCCTTGAAGCTAAGATTGAGCCAAGTTTCGTGAGTTTCGTGATCAACTTCGAGCTTCGCTGACCGGCAAAGAACTCGTACCCGTCCTTTGCGATGGACGTAAGCTAAACGGCGGCTGTCTAGATCGAGGTACACGGGCAAACGAGCGAGAATAGGCTTCTTGAACAGTAATGGGTTGATTCGTGCTTGAGCGGGGTTGGAAGATGGAGGCTGGGACGTGAAGAACAATTTGTGCTGCAGTAGTCTAGACTTCGCGATCACAAATCTGAAACGCCGGTTCACACGTTGTGCCGAAAGGATATCTTTCCGTCGGAGGCGTAGTAAGATCATTTCTAACAGCTCAGTCGTCTCCACCAATCTTCGACCGGAGCCATGAGATGTGCTTTTGAAAACGCCCATATCGGAGCTTCGTAACGGGACCAGTGTCTTGAGTATATCATTTAAAAGCTCTGTGTTATGCTTCAGGGTTGAGAGAATCTCATCGTTGCAGGCCTTCAAACGGGTGATGTGCGTGATAACCCCGTCATAATCTGGCTCTGTTCTCTCCTCCGTTGCGGCCGTCGCTGCCAAGTCCGCCATTGCAGGGGCTCCGAGCATCGGATGATTTTATTAGCTGCCGTGACACGACGCTGATATAAATTTGTGTCCTTTACACAAGGACTCAAAGATGGATGGGAACTAGGACGAAGGTCGATAGAATAATATGACTGCATATAATCTGACCCGTTTTGAAAGAGAGTCAGGCGGTGTGTCCAACAGTCATGTGTCCATGCCTTGAGAGCTATAGACGGTGAGGGGCACATGCTTGTCGCCCGGGTTCTATTAGTAGTAACAAGCAATGCGTCGTTGCCCGCGATGTCTGTCAACCATCAATAAACCAAAGGTTGCACCGCGGAACCAAGTGCTCGTGGGACATGGAATCATAGTCAATTGAGGGGGCACCAAAAATTATCTTCGCTATGTTGTGTAGAAATATTAACTGTGAACTTACATGAGAAAACTTAGCGACCGCAGTAGTCTAGCAAGTAATCGAAGATGATTCAGAGTCGCCCAGCCCTGCTTGTCCTCATAATGATAGGGTTCAGATCGTCCCTGCTGAAGCGCGGATCCACAGAAGCCAAATGCCCGCTAGCAATAACTAAGACGCTTTTCAAGGCACTATCAGACCACTAGCCAGGCGCCGTCAACTCCTGCGCCTTTCACATCTTTCTCATAAGAGGTAGTTTAGAGGCTATGTATAAAATCTGGAATCCAGAGAGACTATGTAACCGCCAGTAGAACAGAACAGAGAGATTTGTGTGAAGAGCGTCGTTGTGACCTTCATTCGAGGGAAAGAATATGGTAATGCTCATCTACAGAACGCAGAACATCCCAATATTTGAATCGATGCTACAGAATAGTAATGCCTGTCGTCTGGTATAACACGCTTGTGTCCGCTGTCGTTGCCGCAGTCATGCCGATTGAATGACAATGCTGGTGGACATGACACGCGATCAACGCAGCCTCGCATCGCAAGGCATGTCGAAGTGCAGACTCCAGTCAGAAATTAAGGCGGTGACTGAGTTTCAGGAATTGGAAATGAATCGCCGTGGTCGACTTCCTATTCCCATGGGTCGATCGTCCGCCAACGAAGTCTCTCTACCGCATGATTAGTCCTTGTTTCCGCTACCAATTCCGTGAGTGTTATTATCTCGGCAAGCCTCATAGACCGAGTGAAACTCTCCACAGTATCGACAAACAACGCCGGTATGCTCCATGATACCGGACACAGGCGCTCCGCCATACATCATGGATACGCCCTTGCGGTATTGACCGGATGCCATACCACATTGGATGCATATACGTCCTAGCTTGTCTCGAGGTGAGGCTGATTTACCGCGCTTGCCTTCCATCATAGCATTGCTGAAATAGCACGCTGAGCGTATCCGCAAGCATCGTGAGCAGCTGAAGAAATCTAAGCCGGCGATAGGCTGTTTGAGATGGGCCGGACGTTGCATGGCGTCATTGTATTGCGGCCACGTCTCGATTACAAGAAGATCCACCATTTAATATACAGTACTAGGCCGGCTACTTTTGCTGTAAAGGTCTCGACATGTGATCCGCAGTGCGAGTTGTGAAGCGTACGGAAGGAGGCTTTGGATCTCTCGCAACAGCTCGACAGGGAGCCCGGACAAAGTCGCGGACATCATCTTGGACCTTGCTTGCGTTGGCATAGGCTCAAATAATTGAGTTGGAGGAGAGCGAAAGGTATCGATGCTTCTTCGCACCAGTGCAGAGCAAGAGGCAAGAGGCACAGGTGCGAATAATATGGCGCCGGTGTGGGGCAAACACCACAAGCGCTTACTTAATACAGGCACAGGTCAAGCAATGCAACATGATGTACAGACGGACTGTCGTCATCTTGGGATTTGCGGTGACGCATTTCGTAACGATTTCCCCAACTACAACCTACCTAGGTACTGGACATTATCCAGTCCTTGGATGAGTACGCTGAAAGCAAGTTGGGGCAAGAAAGCATGGAACAGCGGAAGATGTAGCAACAGTAGACCATGGATTGATTGAGGCTGACTAAATCTCGACTACAACCCTGCTTGGTCCTTGTTTCTTACCGTAACGGGGATATCATTATAACCCTGCTGACTCCTAGGATTTTGATTCAATACTGACTATATAAGAGCCTGTGCTACTATATTGTCCAGCTACTAGGTGCTTTTAGACCTCAGCCTAAGGCCGGCTAGGTTGCTTGAATGCCTCAGGCCTAGAATGGTGATGTCAACGCAAGGAAATCACACAGGTAGGTTCTGTAGATCATTTTCCATGTCATCATGACTAATCGTGTACGTCAGTGAGGGGTCCTACGCATTGTGCACTAGTCAAGAATGATGCCTCGAATCCATAACGCCATGGCCGAATCTCCCTCCGTCGGCCAACACAAGACACGTCCAGAGTCGAGATGATTTTCATGATCGTGAGTCATGGCCGGATGCATGATGATGCCACTCTTCATACGCACAGCTGCCCAGGCGACACCACCAGCTCGACCACTTCAGAGGAACTGTACGCTTGACAAGGGACGCAATGGACCGTCTCATCGCAGACGTAATGCTCAACATCTGCGATGAGTTGGACCAAAAAAGCATTCACTCTCTTGCCCATGTGAACCGTCACTTTCAGTCCGTGTTGATCCCTGCCCTCTACCGCAATGTGACCATCAAATTCTCGACTGTCGCGACCCTCGACTGGCGCGTTCGGCACTACGAGCGTGTACTCCAGAAGTATCATGGCTTCGAATTTGTTCGAAGTCTCAGTATCCTGGCCGGATCCCTGGAGACTCCACGCGCCCAGCTCCTTGATTGTGGCGACCGCCCGATGGACTTGTGGAAGTTCTGTCATGTGGACAAGGCTCGGACTGAACTTCTCGACAACGACGAGCAATGGGAAGATGTTGCAACTCTTATGAAGAAATTGCCCGGGTTGAAAGATTTCACGTGGGGTTGTTTCGAGGTCCTTCCTCCAGCCATCCTCAAAGTGCTTGATGGGCTCATTCCCGCATGTCGTCTGCATATGGCGAATTTCCGGCTCAACAGTCTCTTCCGCCCGCCAAAGGAGCCGCTACAGATCACGGCGCATGAACTCGCGCTGGCCACATCTCCTTCACTCCGCACATTGACGTTGCTTTATGATCTCGTCGACGACGGAGGTAACCAAGACTACCATGCGCCGGCCGTCAGAGCAATGGCACGAGGCGCAGCTCCCAACTTGCGCGAGGTTCACATTCTACAATCCCGTCGACTGAGCAGCAAGCGAGGGCACTGGGCCCGCGGTCAGCCGCGGCAAAAATATCGCCGCAGCTTAATTCCGGTCCCGCCCTCAGAACCCACAAAGGGAGTTCTGGATACGCTGACCATATTTTGGGACGATCGGGGCGAATCGATCCGCACGTGGCATACGGTCATTGACTTCTCGCGCCTCCGCGCGCTACATCTGCATGACTGTATTACCAGTACGAACCTCGACTGGATGGCTACGAATTGCGAATTCTCCTCACTCGAATCGCTTGTCTTGTCCCCGAGCCATTCACTCGACTTTGTGAGTCTCGACGAGAGCGTCGATTCCGCCGTCGACAGCTTCCTAGGGAATCTACCGCCTCTCCGCTCGTTCCGACTGATCGGATACGACAACGGCCACGTGATCGGCCCGTTCCTCACTCACTGTGGTGCGACCCTACGAGAATTCCGCCTCGCCCACCCAGACGAAGACGACGCCGGCTACGACAGCAGCAAGGAACGCTTCATCAACACCGCCATGCTCGACATTCTGCAAACACACTGTCCGAACCTAGAAATCCTCTCCATCCCCTCCCTCCGTGCCCACGGCGATTCCTGGGAAGTCGCCTTCTACCGCCGTCTCGGCCAACTACCACGGCTCCGTCGCCTGCACCTGCGCTTCGACCACCTGCCAGTCTGCTGTAACAATTGCCGCACCGGCATCGAACATTCGACCGACTATGCCGAACGAGAGGCCGCGAGAACCGAAGCCGCCCTGATCAACCACTCCATCGACGAGACGCTAGCATGGTCCATCTTCCGCGTCATCGCCGCCGCCCGGCCTCCCGGCGCGCCTCCGCTCGAATGTCTCGAGGTAGGCACTTACTTCGATGACGTGCTGCGGTGGAAAGACGACGCGCCGTACAGCTCGCAGCTCTTCCGATGGATCGCGCGCTCGTACCGATGCACGGTGAACCCCCGCGACGATGCGGTCGATGAGTGCTTCGTGGAAGAGTACGCTTCCCAGCATCGTCTCGCCAGAGAGGAATTCGAGAAATCGGGGAAATTTGGCCAGGTCGTGACGGCGGACGACTTACTGCCAGTCTTGGAGCGCGTGTGGCCGGGGACTCGCAAGATGGGCTTGGAGAGGATGTGGCATGCTTTTCCGCTGGAATTGGACGACTAGAGGATTTATGGCATTTCGTGATGGCGATTGATTAGTAAAAAGGGGAGAGCTGAGCATGAATCTAACTTTCGGCATCTTCTCGTCTTTTAGAACGGGCATGACTTGTCCCATTCGATTGACTTCCTGATCGAACATGCTCCGATGAACACTGAAGACTTGTTCGTCGTTTCGAAACCTTTGATACGCTGATCAATCCTTCACCACCGAACGCCGGGGAGGCCGCTCGTTGCCATGGAGTAATACTAGTCACAACGCCTTCGAAGTTCTGCTTGGTGATGTGCGATCACATCCACGACTTGCTCTTCCTCGAGTACTTAAATCCCTGACGAGTCGAGAGTGGGACAATTAACGAGATAGCGGACGCGTCGAGTAGACATGCACATGTCGTCGTTGTTTCACGGAGGGCGATGCCAAGAGATCTGATTAGAGAGCCACGTGAGTCGGACGGTCGATGCTAAACCCTAATGGGTAACTATCTTACGCGATTGGCTCTGACGTCTTTCTTTCCTCGCCATTTTGCCTCGTTGCACGCGAGTCGTCGTCGTTGGCGGCATTGAGTAGAAATGCTGTACCACTTCGCATGACATTACTACATGATTGCTGTCGACTTGTATAGATCTTCCAGAGAGTAAATCTATACAACGACAGCGATCTCCCACGGTTGGTCGTTCTACTTGGAACTTCATTTCTTTTCCCTCCATCATTAGTTCTACCGCCGCCATAGGCTTGCGCATCACGAGATCTATGCTTGGACAAATCCTCACCTCTTGAAGAAATCTTGTACAATTACCATATCCAACAGAGCCACCACCCGACCGAACGACTCATCATGGCATCCAACACGACTGCCAAATTCGCGTCACCACCGCCTCCCACACCGACCTACATCCTCACCTTCCCCGCCCCACACGTCCTCCTCCTAACCATAAACCGACCGCGGGCGATGAACAGCCTGAGTTTCGCCTCACAATGGGAAGCCGACTCCCTATTCCAATGGTTCGACTCCGAACCCACCCTCCGCGTCGCGGTCGTCACCGGGACCGGCCGAGCCTTCTGTGCAGGCCAAGACCTCATCGAACAGCGCGACATCACCGTCCTCCGCGCGCGACAGGCCCAGGGCGAAGACACTGGCGACAAGCTCGATCGCAGATTACTAACGCACCCGCCGAACGGATTCATGGGCCTGAGTCGAAGAGTGGGCAAGAAGCCGATCATCGCGGCCGTCAATGGGCATGCGCTGGGTGGAGGTTTTGAGATTTGTCTAGGATGGTGAGTTCCTTCGTTGCGATTGGAGAAGAAAAAAAGCTTGTCATGGGAGGTGTCATTGCACGGATAAAAGGATGTTGACAATCATCTCTCGACCACAGCGATATGATCGTCGCCTCCCCACGCGCGACCTTCGGCCTCCCCGAAGCCGCCCGCGGCCTGTACGCCGCCGCCGGGGGCCTCTCGCGCCTCGTCCGCCAAGCGGGAATGACCGTGGCCTCGGAGATCGCCATGATGGGGCGGATCCTCACCGCGCCGGAAGCGGTGCAGCACGGAATCGCCAACCGCGTCTCGAAAACCCACGAGTCCCTCGTCGACGAAGCCGTCGACATGGCGTCCAGGATCGCGAGTCTGTCCCCTGATGCGATCATCGTCACGCGTGCGGGTCTTCGGCAGAGCTGGGAGGACGGCAGTGTGGAGCGGGCGACGCAGATCACCGAGTTGGAGTACGGCCCGCGGTTGAGGAATGGGAGGAATCTCGCCATCGGACTGAGGGCGTTTGCGGAGAAGAAGGTGCCGGTTTGGGAACCGTCCAAGCTATGAATGTCTTCTTTTTGCCCTTTTTCTCTTCTCTCTGGTGAAAAGCATATGTTTTTGACTACAGGAGCGATCTATTTTCCATTTGCAAAATGCATGAGCGAATTCTGGTTGGGAAATGGTGGGTTGAAGTTGGGGCATTTGTTTGTTCTGATTTTCCGATGTAAGCAGCCGCAGCGAACTGTGCCTATCTGCTTGATATTCTCTCTAATCTACGAGATTGTCTCGGCATTTTTCATGTTTCTGTACATCGACGCAAGGCTCAGGTATGTTCCTGGATTATGCCGCGAAGCTGATACACCTGGGCACACATGAGCGTCAGGGTTATATAACCCTAAGAATCAGTATTCTTCACTCTGCTCGTGGTCATGATATGCAAAGGACATTGACCATGCAGGTGTGAGTAGATTCGTTGCAGCAGTGCCGAATGAGCGAAACAATCGATCATCACATATTCCTCTCCGTGAACAGTTTCAAGCGTGCCCGTGAAACTACCCTTCACGCAAGCCGGTGACACTTTCTTGCTGGCAGACACTAACAATACAAATATCCTGTTCCGTTGTCGGTCTACCTTTGAGCCTCACCACCACGAATACACCAAATACTGCACTTTCAAATCAAACCTCGGGATCCTCCACCAAGATGACTTCTCCCTTCCACTTCGAGACCACGCATGCCAGCCTGAGCACCCGCCTCCGCCTCATGGCACGACGGATACGATCCGTGGCAGGCACCAACGCCACCTTTCGATTCCCATTGATGGACCTGCCTCATGAGCTCATCGTCGGCGTGGTCGAATGTGTCGCCGATTCGAAAACATTGGCAAGCCTGTCGACGAGCTGCCGGTTTCTTCATTCTCTCGCGGAACCGCTCATCTATCATCGCTTCCTGCTCCGGAGCGGAAAGGAGATGACTAAGCTCGAAAGGATCCTTTGGTCGCGCAAGGACAGGATGGCGATGATTCGGGATTTCGACTTTGCTTGCGATGGGTTCGTATTGTCCTGAGCAAAAAGTCGATATTCCGCTTTACTTGCGAACCGCTTACTGATCTCCGAACAGTGAGAAGCGGCAGAATTTCTCCGCCATGGTCGCGCTTTTATATGGCGCCAGCCAATTACGGAAGTTCAATTTCGAAAGCCCGAATTGCAATCCTGCGGATTTCGAGGACGAGGATCAATGGGATAAGACGATCGGTAGAGTGCTCAATTTGTTCTCTCAAGCCATCTCGGGAAGCCCGGGCGGTCATTTCCATCCGTTCAAACATCTCAACACACGTAAGTGGACATGTCATGTTCACGCTCTGTGATGCATCATTGATGAATCTCGAACAGTCACTCTCCATTGCAACGGACCGTCATCACCATTTTGGACCATACAGAAGAATACTTTTGCCATTTTCTTGCTCCCGTCCTTGGATAACTTGACGTTGTCATGCGTCAACCTAAACGCGGAGATTCGCAAATTCGTTCAAAATGAGCATCTTGCTTCGACACCTCTCAAGGCTCTCAAATTGATCGAGTGCAACGTCAACCATCTGGCACTCCATGCTGTCCTCTCGATACCCAAGGCTTTGACGCATCTGGAGATCGGTATGTGTTGCTCTGTGGTTCCAATCTTGACCCGTACTGAACGTCCTATAGATGAGGCCTGTCACAATCTTGTCAACTTTTCCGTCAACAGGTCCTCTCATCACAACAACTTATTTGCAAAACATGCAAGAAAGACCATGGACGCACTTCGACAACAGAAAGGCTCTCTAGCGTCGCTGACGTACGGCACCACCATCAAGGACAGAACACCAACCCCCACCGTTCAAGGTGGTGATGAAGTCGATGGAGCTTTCAGCGAATTTACCACACTCCAAACGATATGCCTGAGGCGATCGTCGCCTGTTTTCGAACGTGCCGTCATGACACTCCACCCACCCCCAAACCTCCAGACGTTGACCAATACAGGAGCCGCTCCGTTCACCGATTTCACCCACGACGAAATGTACGATCATCTCATCGACGACCCCGAGTGCCCGCTCAGCATTCCCTTCCTCCGTGCCCCCTCATCATTCATCCCCGCCAGTCTCCGCACCCTCGATGTCATCGTCGAAGACTCCAGTCGCAGTGGGTATTTCAATCGCGAACACTGCCGGAAATTCATCGAGGACACCACGAAGCACTTGAAGACCGCCAACTCCATCGATCTGAGAGCCTGGGCGCAGGACTCCCCCAGCCGACATAATTTCTTCCCGCCATATCTTCATGGTGAGGCGGAAGACCCTCGCGTCCGCGTGTATAACCCGGACGAGGGAAAGTGGTTGAGCAGATATGCGAGGCCCGCTCCGCCGAGATCGGGCTTTACTGTAGCAGAGGAGCGGAATTATTATCCTCTCCCGATATGAGAGATGACAGTCTTCTCTCTGCCAGAGAGGCCAAGGGAAATGTCAGGTTTCTCTCGAAGAGTAACATGACTCGATGGTGAATGATTCCACGGCTATCACGACATCTGCAGCTAGCCAAGTTCGGATATGTACCAGACTCAGCCCTGCAATGCCCAAGGTAATATAACAAGATGAATAAATCCCGTTCTCCAATTGAAGACCGGTGAACTTTTCAGACGTTATCAAAAGTCTCAAAAGCTCAAGATCGAAACCTCCCAGCAGTATACCGAAATTCACAACACATCACAAGACGAGATGGAGCAGGTAAGAGCACCTATTCGAGACCGAAAACGTTGCATCTCACATTCCAATCGCAGCTAATCGACCAAATCCGAAGACCCGCAAAAATCGAACACATTGCCATTACCCACATGGAGAATATTTCGAACCCAGCTTGTAAAGTGCTTCCATGCGGAGAATCGGGCGGTCTTCGTCATCCATCGAAACATTCACCCTCGCAGCCACGATTGAAGCCTTTTGTTTCCCAATTTGTTCCCCTAGTGTCCTCCCATGATTATCCTTCCTTCATATTCCTCATCAAATTCGTTATCCTATGGGATCTGAGATCGTTTCTCCTTGAGAGAGGAAAAGATCTAGATCTGGAGGCAGAGACCACCAAGGTTGATCTGAGAAGAAGTGTTTTCGTCAGCCGAACAGCTCGCCTGTCATAGAGTAATACTGCCCAGAGAAAGAGAGGAATCTCACCAATCCATTCTGCTCAATGTTGCAGCAAGCCTGCACGCCATTGCAAGTTCCCAAGACCGCGCCCAAGGTGCAGTCCAACGCCAACAAGGAGTTCTTGTTGCAGCAGGCTGGGTGCTGGTTGCCGGAGCACTGGCCGCCGGTGCTGGGGGCAGGAGAGTTCTTGGGCGGGGTGCCGTAGGTCTGTTGATTGGAGAGATCAGCTTTGTTGCTTGCGGCTCTCTAGGGAGGAGCATGGTTGGGTCTGCGGAGACTTACGCGGGCGACCATCACCTCGGGGAGGGCGGCGGCGCTGGCCATGGCGGCGCTGGCGATGATGGCGAAGAAGGTGGCGGTCTTCATTTTGATGATGGGAAGTTTGAAGGGAGGTTTGGGAAAAGGAGGATGTTGGATTTGTTGGGAATTTGGTTTGCTGGGAAAGGCTGTATGCGGTGGATGATGGAAGGAAAGGATTGTGATTCTGGGGAGCGAGATGAGGCCTTTTATGTCTTTTCTTCGACGACGGTGATGACGGCGATGATGGAGATGCGCTGGTGAGGTCGATACTCTGTTGGTCACGGCGACATTGTTGATGTCGTTGGTGGCGGGAACTTTGGTGGGTCGCACTTCACGTATCTTGCTTTCTGGTTTCCATCGCTGATCATTGCCTCCGATTCTCATCGTCAGCCGCGGAAGAAGGCGATGCCGACGAACGTATAAGCATCATATCCAACAAACAGTACCTCCCAGGTACACACACACACGATGGAAGGATAGACGAACCCTCATCGGCAGTCCGCCGATCTTCTCGTTAATGTATCAGCTTCCCCGGATCCTCCGTGGGCGCTACGATCGCTACCACATGCCATCCATCGTCCTCGACGGCCAGGGTCGTCGACGAGGCGTTCGCGATGCGCATCATTTCGCCCTTTCACATGCATAACCAAGGCAATCGAACACGAGCGTGGCGTTGCCAGTCAACCCCGCGTACCTTGCTCTCGAGTACACAGGAGGAAAGCGGAGTCGAAGGTGGCTTTTTGCGATCGACACGCCGCTTTCTTGTCGAGGATCTCAATTTGCTAAGACGACTCGGGCTTATCAAACTTTCCTCGTGTCAACATGAGGGATTCGCGTGAGACCGGGGTGGTCAGAATTTGGTGCTGAGAAGCTTCATACCATCACCAAAGCCGTTTGTTGACCCACATAAAGACATACGCAACAATGGTCACCATTGGCTTCCAGGCAGCGTAATAAAACCCATCTGCCACGAGAAGCAATCGGGACATCAAGAGATGAATCGACGCTTTCAATTGGCGCTAGACTCCCGTCAGTGGCGATTGCCGATGGCGTCCCTTGCTATGAAATGACAAGCATGGTCGAAAAGGAGCCGACCCTCGAGCCAAAGGAGCCTGCGTACGAGCAATTCAGAAACTTCCCGGAGAGCAGCATGGACTCCCAAGCTTCTTTCCCCGGCTACACACCTCTCACTAGCTCTCCATAGACGGACGCCATTGATCCGCACTGACGTTCATGGCGCTTGGAGCAAGTCGGTTGAACCATGCAGCCACACTGTACCTTGACAAACAACTACGTTGACCGCTCCATTGAGATTCACTCCTCGTAGGGCCGCGCGGGCTTGCTCGGTGCTGTAGCCGGCGCTAATATGGGGCTACACAACTCGTTCAGCCTTGAGAAGTGGAGATCGTCGTTGCTAACATTCACACTCGAGCTCTGAGTAATGGCCTGGGGGCATCTGCCATCCCGAGCGCTCGAGATCAGTATCCTCCACACGAGAGAAGCCAGGATGCATGGCTTCTGTCGAAGTACTCTCAGCTTGATGAGGTGAGCGCTCCTGGGTGTGGACCCTCGCCAGCGTGTGGTCTGAGACATTCGTTTGCCCGTCGTACAGTATCTCATCTCAAGCGAGCGACCTACCAGGGCTATTCCTCCATAATCCTCCACTCGGGTCCACAGCTCCATCGCTTACATCCTGCTTCTCCCCAGCCCTTCCCTCCGCAAATCCATGGCATACGGCTGTAGACGAGAAATGGCGCTGCCCTCCCGTCATGCGGGCTCCACTGTAAATCAGCCTCTTCCGAAGCCACATGGCAAGCGTCAATACAGTACCGCCATGTGAGGGACGGTCCATGGCGCTCATTCAGGTGGAATGGCCGCCAATGGATGCGCGACTCTCGCAGGAGTGGCTTGCCGCTTCTGCCGGGACCCATGAACGCTTCCCCGCCGTTTGTCCCGCACGCCACGAGCCAACTGTTCTGCCTGCCTTACGCCTGCGCAGGCCTCTCCTGCATGGAAAGCACTGGATGACGCAGTCTTCGCTGACAACCCTTCGCCTGTGTTCCAGCTCGTACGCATTCATTCCTCGAGCCCTTTGGCCTGTGTCGTGTGCTCTATGTCCTCTACCTTTGACAAACCAGAAATTGCCGTGGCATCCTTTACGCCTTATGAGGATGTTTCGCGAGGGAACCGTACGTGATACAGGGCGCCTCTATCGCTCTTACGAATGACCGCATGTTCTCCATCTTCTTTGGGTACCAATCCTGCTGAACAAGAAGGAACGCGCGTTTTCAATCGCATCCTTGTCCTCTTCAAGGCGAGGACCTTGTCTGGCACAACTGCACTGTTCGTACATCCTCGGGCTTCCTCGATGGACTTACAGTGCCTCGCTACATGTTCCGATCCTCGTCAAGATCATAAATGCATGCGAGAAAGACAAGGATCTAAGCGAGATGGGGAGTTCCCCCGGTGAAAAGGAAAATCGCCGTGGATGTTGCTTTCCCAGGGTACCTGTTCCCGCACAGCAAATCTCGAACTCTTGGAGAAGATTTCTGTATACGACGATTGCAACACCTAAATCCCGTCGCTGTTGATCACAACATTTTCTATTACATGCAGATGTCTCTCTCGACCATCCAATGCTCGCATGTACACCCAACTGCGATGGGCCATCTTCTCCCCCGCATTTTACCCCAACCTCCACCGAACTGCCCTGGCGAGCTTCTAGCGTCTCCACTAGCCAACGACGTACCGACATCCGGAGAACGCGCGCTGCTCCACTGATGCCGCTCCAAGAGTGGAGCAGCTGTTCGTTGTTCCCTTCGACTTGCAGATCTGCATGGACATGGGTTCTGCTGTGTGATGCTGACATGCAGTTGTCCCTCTCCTATTCCATGCGCCGTTGACGACGCCTCTGGTTTCATGTTCCATCCTCCAGGCGAGGTGGAGTCGAATGCGCTGTTCTCCTTCATGCAGCGAGCACACTGGAAGGCTGTGCGAGGAGAGTAAGCAGATGGACGGAGGGCTGACGCGCCGTTGAATGTTCGAATAAGGGACTCATTGAAAAGTCAAGCTGAAAAAAGGATCGACATACCATCCCCCTGTCCAAGAAAGAAGTTCTTATTGGTGGCGTCCGCTGCAGCAGCGTCGGCGACAGGCGAGCGAGTTCTCTCGATTGTCCGATCGTCGATGTACATTTCCCCATCCGTTGTATTTTCTGAACCGAAGGAATAAATGGATTCGGCTGTGAATTGATCTCAACGGCTCCTCCGAGTAGACGGGCGAGCAATCTATCCTGGTGTTGGACAGCCAGTGCGGGATACCACGCCTTGCACTCCGTTTCGTGTCCTTGTTAAGAAGATTTCCGTCGTTGGTTGCAGCAGATGCTACATAGTATCGATCAAAGGCAGACAACATCACCATATCCTTCGTATCAGTATTGGCGATGTGCGGCTGGCGATGACTGAAAGGCCAAGAGAGGCGTTCACTCTCTTTCATGCAAAGCCTCGTGCATACATGCACGTTCCCATGTGCATGGCAGGTCTCCACTCATCCCCGGAGAAGACTCGGTGTAAATACGAGATTGCTCCTCAAGGCCTGAGAAAGTCGCTCACACTATCGTCGCGGGCAAAGCGTTCGACAGATGGAGCCCTTCCCCTCAGCAATTGAGCTCGCGTGTCGATGTTGAGTCAATACGGAGGCGACTTCGCGTAGATTTCGGTTGCCCGTCACCATTGATTTGCGCGTGACACGTGATCCAGAAAAGATGAACAGCAGCGCTGAACCGCCGTCGGCGATATTGCAGACGCCACACAAGAACGCCTCCATATGCATGCAAGGCAGGAACGTCGCTCCAGTCATGTGACCTCGCATCGCTGTCTTGTTCACGACGCCGCCGACGTGATGACTTTTGCCTTTCCCTTCTTGTAAATCGAAGCCAGGCGAGTTGTGAGACGAGTGGCGACGAGTTCTTCGACATTATACGCATGATGCTGGGGAACAATATAGAGAATGCCTTGTGCGTATGAAGCATCTACCCTTGAGAGATCTGGCACACCGCCTTCACTGCCAGCCACGCGCTTTAGAGGACAAAGTTTTGTGAATGTCCAGGAAAATTGGAGCGACGGAGCGGGAGAGGAAGGTCGATTGCGCTTTCTCCATCGCCATCTGCCAAGCAAGACTGATGGCGCAGTCGATTGATATTACCGGCATACATTCTTCCGCGAAAGGAAAAGCAAGGATAGGAACATATGCCCAGGCCGTATATCTCCGTTGCTCCATCGGGATGTAAACTTCTCGGAAACCAGTGGTGAGCTTTGACCGATCTCGCCGATCCTTGTCAAACATCGAGCCAAGGGGATGAACGTCGTACGATTCGCGACAAGGCATAAATTGATGTGAGGAGCACACGCCACCTGCTCGCTTGGAGATGATACCGGTGCTGCGATATCGTGCAGAGATCATGTGTCTTCCAGGGTCGAAAGAGAGGATTCGTGTCATTCCATTTTGAAACAAGTCCAAACGCAGACCGATAGCTTGAGGACGTGGCATGATCTCCAACGTCTGCCTGATATCGCCGTGGTCTGGTCCTCCAACATCTTGGTCCTGTCCAATTCTTTCGCTCTCGATACCGAGACTGATTCACCCGTTTCTTCTCCAGCACAAAATCCCATATTATCTTTCCCTTAAAGATCATCCGGATTGAAAGCCCCTCCTCCTCCTCCTCCACCTGCACCGCCAACAGGCCCATCTCCAAAAGCCTCCCGTCTTCTCCTCTCTCTCTCCTCCGCGGCGATCCTCTCCCTCTCTTCCTCTTCAGCTTTCCTCACTTCTGCCTCCGCCAATTCCTCCGCACTGAGCACACTCGCGGGATCCTGTCCACTTTCCACCATCCTTTGTATCGCGGCCAATGCCCCTGATGAGATGACTTGGTGTGAGGGCCAGGGTTCGAAGGGAAGGAGAGCGGTGGTTGGGTCGAGCCATTGTTTGGAGTCGCTCGGCAGTGCGGCTTGCGCGGCGGTGGAGGGAGGTTCGACGGTGGAGTCTGTTGCGCCGGGGAGGATCGGGAAGGTTTCGTCTTGAGCGGTCATGGGCGTTACGATCCCGTTTGTGGGGCCAGCGGGTGTCGCTGGCGGTGCGGCAGAGCTGACTGTGCTGTCTGGTGCTGGTTTGCGGTAGGTGGGTGGGACGCTGGTCTTGCTGATGAACTTTGCGTAGTCGAGGACATCCTTGACCTGCAGAGTCTTCCTTATTTGTGCGCCTGCGGTCGAGGGCCCAGAAGAAGACTCCTCCGCAGCTGCGATCGGCGCTATCGCTTGGATGTCCTTGCGGGTTTCGGCGAGGAGGCGGATGGTGGATTTGATGGTTTCGTCGAGAGAGGCGGATTTTTGGCGGAGTTCGGCAAGACGGAGGGAATTGCGCTGATGGACGACCACTTTGTTGACGAGATTTCAGTGTCAATATTTGCATATCGTAGCGGCTATTATCGCGAGGTATCATTGTTCTTACATTGGTCGAGATCAGCACTCACGCGCTCATCGGCCGCGAGTAATTCCTCCGCTGCAGAGACGGAGGGATTATACGCGGCGATGCTGTCGATCAGTTTCTGAAGGCTGCTTTCGACGCGTGCATAACTCGTCTGAAACTGAGCAAGCATTTTTGCAGCGACGCTGTCGTGTAAATGTGTACAATTCTCGACGTAGTGCTGCTTAGAGAAATTGGAATGCAACGATTCCAGATTCGAGAGTGCTCTGGCGCGTCGTTTTGCTGAGTCAGCGCCACCTTGCTTCGGCGGATTCGGAGCGGGGCTCCGAGACTGGATTTGATTAATGTTGAAAGATTGAGTAACGTCCCTCCCGGCGTCGCGAGCCACCCTGCGTAACGAGCCAGCATTGAACACTTTCATCTATAATATTCTGCAACAGCTGTGTCAATGCGCGCCAGCATATCTGGGGTGTAGACCGGAATGCCAGCTTCCTGTCGACTGCTCTACGTCCAACTTGGGTTCATCTTGCAGACGCTGTCATCGATTCCGTCCTTGTGCGAAATCCGACCTGACCGATCGATCGCTTCATACAGGCACACTACAAATCCATTTACATATTCATCGGCCTCTATCGATCGCTCAGACGTAGCTCTACGGCTACCTTCAGTATTATCTTCACGAGACGAAGGTTGCGCGATCCCGAGCGCTGCCGTCGT